GCTACAAGTTGGTATCAATACACAAGATTTATATCTCAAGTTTGACAAAAACAGCTTCAAACCGGTCACAACAAGTAAAAGCTTTGATGACATCTGTAATAACAGAGAGGTAAAACAACTGCTTACCATCATATGGTTTAAGTGTATTTTTTGAGATTTCAACCAAATCATATGGCTGTTTAGACTTATGATTAATGAATTTTGGAAATAAATTCTTGATAAAATATTAAATTTTGTTATACTAACATTGCTTTTGTCATGATTTGAATGTTAAGGTTTTGAGTACTGGCATGATGATGTCCTTTGTTCTTTCAGCTGTTGAAAAGAAGTGTGATCACAAGTGATTTTGAAAAACAGCAGTCTATTCCCCCAATGCATGTTTCCCGATATGCTCAGAAAAAACAGAGGAAGGTAATATTTTCATTCTATTAATTACTTCCTCATAAATCCAAGATACAGCAATTTTGATTTTAGTTTCAAGCAGTGACTTTCCATACTTTACAACTTCATGATGACAATGATGATTATTTTTGAGGTGAAATAAAGAAATATTTTATCTTCAAATGAAGTTTCCTAAGGTTACTGTCAACAAAATAGGGTGCTTTCCATAAAAATTGTCCTTCGCATGTTACTTTTAAAGACATCATAGAAAACTATATGCCACTGTTAAACTTCTTAAGTACAGATTACAAAGATAACAAAATTTTTCAAAAATCTTGTTGAGGTAGTTGAGCACCAGCCTTTAAACTCAACACTGACAGTGTTTGCTTTACTGAATTACCAGCCTACATATTACTGTGAACCCTAAAATAAATTGGACAGGATCACTCAGCAGATAATAGGCTAACAAAGTGTGTTAGGCTACGAAGTTGGACAATAGGAAATATTTTGGTTGTTGTCAGGCTTTGTGATGTTACAAGAGAAATATTTCCAATTTCATCATAGCATCACACATTTTTGTGCATTCATATCTGATGAATGTTTTGGCCAATTTTCATAAAAATCCAGCAAATCTACATACCCCATTAATTTGTTCAAGTAGAGGTAACTCATGTAAAAAAAAACCATGAGTACTTGACTTCTAAAGAAATCACAGTTTTTGCACCTCATTGAAGGGCATGTCAAAGTGGTCATGCCTCTGTCCAATGAAATACAACATTGAACCCCATTGCAAGTCTTGTGATAAAGAACTCCTTTGAAATTTACGAAAAAGGTCATTTCACCCAAAGAGGAACATGAGTTACTCAAAATCTAAAGTTCATTGGGAAAAACAGAAGGAAAAGTGGGCAAAGCAAGCTAGGAAAAAAGAAAAACTAGACTTTTATTTATTTAGCTTGGGCTCTCTCACAACTTTCCTCTTTTTGTTAGTTTAATGAAGACTCTCTTTTCCCAACCTTTTGCACATTTTGTTAGAAATTCCCTTTTGTTGCGAAGTGCAAGACATGATGTAAACAAATTATGCAAATAGAGATCACAGATAAAAGCCTGCTGCAAATGCCAATGCTATGCTAGAGGCCCTGATTGTGACACCTTTGCTCTTCTGTATGGGTTCCCCCAAAACATTCTATCAACTTATTTAACATTCTTTTTATGATTTTACAATTTTTTGGTAAATTAAACTTCACTACTTTCTCTAATTAAAGAGCGAAAATAACTAAACTTCTAATATTTTGACCAGATTTTGTTGACAAAAACTTTAAGATAACTTGACATGCATATGTAAATGTTAAGAGGAAATTGACTTTGAAAACCTGTTTTATGTCCAGTGAAATGAAACTACATATATGTATGTTGTTTTTCATCAATGATAGCAGCCGTCAACAACACATGCCATTTTTGTTCGTAATTCAAATTCAATCACTTCAATGAGATATGAGTAGCAGCATTGAAGCAGAGAATGGTGTCAATCTAACCGATATGATTCATAGACCAGGACCTACCATGCAGTTGTTCATAGGGCAGGAAACACTATCCAACAAATAAATTGCTGTCCACTAGAATAAGATAGAGATTTAATGGCTGGATAGCATTATCCTCCTTTCAAGCAACAAGGGCTAGGATTTACGTTATTTACATATAGATCCTTAGCTGCCCTTAATAAAGCTGAAAAATTGTAGACTGCAGGCAAAAATTTTAATTATTGAAAGTGGTCATGTAAAGAATGTAAATGTAGTTTTAGCTTTCTTTGGTCAAATTTTGAGGTCAGTTGCTTATTGAGATATTTAGATGTACACAATGTAATCCAATTTTGTGTGTCCTTGGGCATTCTAGAAAGCTAGAGAGGAGACTGCAGGACCAATGTGGTTTAATCTTCCAGCAACTCAGATTACACCAGAGATTGAACGTGACATGAAGTTAATGAAGATGAGAAATGTTTTAGACAAGAAACACCATTACAAGAAGAACGATTCATCAGCGTTACCCAAATATTTCCAGGTAATGCTATTATTACTAATTATTCTTTTAAGTTAATCCTAGTATGGCATGCATAATCTTTCAAGGAACTAAAACAGCCGTCTATAATTTCTTTGATTTGAGATATGATTTGTTTCAACCTTGTAACTCCCATGAGTGACCAAGCCAGAATTTCTCCTTACAATATCAATACAATGTCAAGCAGACAAGTGATGAGAAGGAAGAAAAATATCAATCAGGGGACTATAAGTTTATACAATCCCAAATTCTACAAACTAACATTACAAGAACTGTATGGCAGACAGAAAGGGGAATTACTAATGAGATCTAGGGAGTTAAAGGATTAATACTACTGACAGCTTAAAACCACCACACAAACCACCAACTTTTGAGGAAAGTTTAGCAAAGGAAAAAGTATTTTTATCCCTCATACCTGCTGTCATTGCAAATATTCTGAAATAGAAGCTGATAGAAGAAGAATTTTGTGTAACCCTTGTTTTTTGTTGTGTGTATTATAGAGACTTAAATTTTTAAGTAAATTCAAGGGGTCCTCACTCCTGTTGAGGAAAAGTAACACAGTTTAACTTCATGTATTTCCTTGTGATATCATTATGATCGTATTCAGGAGTACTGTTATTTCATGTTGATTATCAATTGGTAACAAGTTTAATTAATCGGCTAAACAACCATTGCTGTTGGTAATAGGAAGGTGGGTTATGAACTTGCTAAATTCACATTTGTGAATGTGATAGTTTTAGTAGTGTGCATGGAACTACAGGTGACAATAATGTTTAAAACAATATCTAGGATGACCACAAGGAGTCTACTGATATAGGCAACAACAATATGTCAACTTGAGGAAGTCTATTGCTGAACATGTACAAAATGTTATTGAACTAGAATCAGCATATCTTTGGTCCTGTTGTTTAGATTGGTACAGTTGTGGAGGGTACAGCAGACTTCTATTCCTCTCGTATTCCAAAACGGCAACGAAAGACTAACATGATAGATGAGCTTCTTGCAGACGCTGAATTTAGGAGGTATGTCTAATTACTTAATTATTGTAATATCAATGGCGTTGGTTAGTGTAACAAGGGGTTTTAGGCTAAAAAGGAACTTATTTTATTACTCTAACATACAGCAAGCAGTTACAAGTTGAAAACCACAAAAAATTAATAACCCCGAAGGCCCATAATACTGAACAAAGCTGTAGCATTGGCGTGCCCACAGTACAGTTGACCATGCATGTTAAAAGTAGCACCTTGTACGGTTGTACATCCAAATTTTTTGGCTTGATGGGTTACTACTATTTTGTATAATTATGGGGCTATGCTCTGCGGGCTCCGCTATTATTACTAGGTCATTAGTAGCAAGCTTATTGTGATTAATTGATGTGTATGTGCATATGTTTGCCACTTCTATAAAGCTGGTAATTTATGCCCGCATAGTTCCAACAATGTTTTGTCACAGAAACTAAAAAAGTAGATTTATTTTGTCATATGAAGATAGATTTTATTATGCTTTGTTGAATTTTTCTTGATATTAGTCCAAGTACCTCGCATTAGTCCTTTCTTTTGAAAGTCTTTTTATTTCATTGAAGGTTCATATGCAAACTTTCTTTCTCACTATGAGTAACATTTTTCAGTGGAGACACAAGTACAGACCATGCCTCAGTTTATCTTCCCTTGGAAAAATACAGTTGTAGGTGGAATTACATGAATAGTAATGCACTGTGTTTGTCTGTTGCAGATACAACAAGAAAAAATACCTAGAAATACAAGCTGCAAAACAAAGTGGAAAGAAAGGGTTTTATAAACAGAAAAAGGACAAAAGAAAACAAACTACAATGAGAAGTTGAGGCAGTGACTTTGATGCTACAGTATTTTTATGGTTATGATAGGCCACTTTTCAATTATTTATTCATTATAAAACAGTCAAGAAATAAATGTATTTTCCTCAATAGTGGGGACCAAAGATCAAGTTCTCAAATTAGTAAGTAAACATTTGAATGTTATTTTAGCGAAATTCAATTTTAGATCTGCAAAGTTTTCAGAAACCCTCACCTAAGAGGTTATGTCTACAATGAAATTAAGTCAATCATCTTGACTGGAAAACCTTACTCAAAGGAAGACAGGGTGGTGTATTGGGCTAGCCTGAGCTATCACACATTAATATGAAAAAATATTGGGATAAAAGTAAGTAAATAATAGTCTATCAATAAATCCAAAGCTGGTCTCATAGCATCACAATGATGACCTGAAACATTTAATAAACAATAACTCCCTTATCTTGAAATTTGTTGGATGTGGTCAGATAAGTTTATTTCATTCTCCAGGTCTTTTCTAGAGATAATGTGCATATCTATGGCATAAACTCTTTGTTAATAGCCCCATTTTTCAATTTATTACATGGTCACCACTGTCATAAGTTTATGAAATCCCCTGACAAACATAAAATTTCTCTGACCAACTGAATATCCAATTTCACATGTGAGTACCTTGAACAGCCTCCAATTTCCCCTCACAGCTTTTCTCTGCATCATAAATTTATGCTTTCAACAAGTCAGTCAAATACAGTGACAATGATTTGATAGTTCCCTAGTTCCCATGGATCAAATATTTATTTGCTCTGAAATCCAACATCAGATTGTCATTCAATTTTATTAAACAATTTTCTACTATCTAACACCTTCAAGACACCTTTTTCTATCTTTTTTTTTTTTACAAACTGATGAATGCAACTACCCTCAGTTTGTTCATGAGATATCAGTTTCTGCTACCCCAACACATCATAGTTAATTTCTTACAAAGAAAATGCAACTACAGCTGATGCCTTCTGTTCATGCCTAGCCTAACTGCATAGTTACACTGAAAGTAAATCAGTAAGTGATTTTAGTACTATTGAGCTTTAAATTCATTTGATTTATTACCAAAGTTAGCTAGTCCAGTGCTTGAATTCATAAGGGCTGAATCAGAATGTTTTGTTTTGTACACAGAACACATAGTCTCTCTTGGTTCTTTCAACAATGACTTGATTTGCTTCAGCAAGAGCTTTTTGTAGCTGTTTGTTTTCATTTTTAAGCCTTTCATTTTCCTCAAGAATAGACAAAAGTTCCTTTTTACACTTCAAGCATAATCTAGATTGACAAGCAAAGTCTTCCTTACAATCTCCACTTTGCTCGTACATACAGTATGTGTGATCATTTTCCAAGGCATTTGAAACTGATGTCAGCAACTCACTTGTTTCCTTTGTATTGTCTTCACTTGAAACTTCAGCACTTTGTTCAGGTACAGCCTGTAGAACTCCTGCATTGTCTTTAGGAAGAACATCGAGCATTTTAAATTTCCCACTGCTTGTCTGGGTATGTGTTGTGTCTCTTTTAATAGTGTGAGGGTTTATGAACATATCACTCTGCACATCAACGTTAGTCAAGGACTCCAGAATTCTTGAAACTTCTTCACTATGAGTTTCCTCTGTATCGTATCCGTTCAGCCACAGCTCGGGGTGCAAATGGTCACCCAAGGGTTTGCCAAATACAAAATGATTACTGCATACCTTTGTGTTTTCTGTCACCTGAAAGCTTTTGCGGTTGATAATTCGCTCCCATACTTTAAAGTGCTTTTGATTCGGCTTATGCCACTTCATACAATGTATATGGGGTTTCACAACCCACCTGCAAATAATAAGGATTTCCATCAGCCACCATAAGTTACTTGTATAAGCTAATTAACTTGATGGCCCCAAGAGTGACAAGCATCTAATTTCTCCTTAAAATATCACCCTTGAATTACACACTGAAGTCGTGAGAATAAAGGAAGTGATGAACAAATAAAGAAACTCTTGATGGTTAAACAACTTCTTCGTTTCAGTTCTTCGGGAAATGTTGAGAGCTGAGTGGAGAATTTGGATGCAGATATTGGGGTGTAAAGGGTTATTATATCCCTTATAATATTGAAGAAAAGACTTATAACTCCTGCCAAAACAAACAAACCAACAAACGAATGCCTAAAACGCACTAATGTTATAAAAGCACCACAGTTCAATGAGCACGCTGACAGGCGTCTAAATTTCCAGGAATTCGGCATCAATTCTTGAAGATCACATGCGAAAAATATTACCTTTCTGGATACCTCCGATCATTTCGACATCCAAACACGGCGCAGTGGTCGCCTTTACCCATGTGTATTTGGCGATATCGTCACGTCCGAGAAAATCTCCATGAGTTCACAGCGTTAACCACGGGCCAGCGGCCAAGACAATGCACCCTTTTCGAACCACAGCCCTTTGCGAAATCAATATATTCAATAGGTCTAATATCCTCAGGTATCTTGCCTGGAATCAGAACACAGTGAGCGTTACGAGATACTTCAACTCACCTTCTCCGCATTTTATGATCAAGAAAAAAAAACTGAAATAACGATCAAGTTATCAAAACCGCCAGAATTTACTGTTGTCACATGTTATGGTCCTTACATGACATATAAAGGGTTTCATGAAATCCGCTGTAATGGAAAGAGTGTGCTGTATACTTTGAAGTTCCCATAGCAACCACAACCACGATCGCCATGTTTTTTTTGTGACTGCGTCTGACACTGTAGATTTCATTCGAAGTGATTTACCGTTTCAATACTCCCCGATAGTTTTGAGTTATGCCCCCGAAAAAGAAGGGAAAGAAGAGTGGAAAGAAGAAGAAGAGTGGTAAAAGGAGTGCCAAAAAGTCACCTTCTGCAGCACCATCGAGTGATGTGCTCAATGAACTTTCGAAGGAATATTTTCTTATACAGATACGAGATTTAGAAGAAAGGTTAGTTCGCTATCAGAAAAAATGCGACGAGCTTGAAATTGCTAATCAGGATTACAGATCACAGTATGAGCAACAAACGACGGATAAAAAGGAAATTGTGTCGTTTTTGAAGAAACAGTTGGAACAAAGAGCGGACGAAATTGCTGATCTTCAAGATCGTTTGATAGGATTACAGCAGGCCAAGGATGGAGAGAAGGATCAGTACGAAGTACAACTGGCGACTTTAAGAACTGAAATGCAGGAAATCAAGGACCAGTTAACTTCAGAGAATATGGTTCTGGGCGGAAAGTTAGCCTCTTTAGAAGAATTCCGTGTTCAAAAAGAAGATTTGATGGCAAAGTTTGCGAAGATGGAGGAGGAATTGGAAAAACAACAAAAGGATCATAAAGAGGTTATTTACAATCTGGAGAGGAAGGCCGTCGTGGACAAAGATAGGTCTGTAATTTTAATCCCTTTGTATGAAATAAATACACGTCATTATGCCTCCTGTTTAACATAATTTGCGAGAGTTATTTAATTTGTTATGTGCGATGCCACGTCAATTAGACATTAAGAAATATCTAACTTTGCCAGGCTTGGTTTTTTGAGGTGATTGAGATGAAAGAACCTCAGCAGATGCGGTAAACGTAATAGAGACTGCAGGCAAATTGCTAAGATACAAGATGCTTAACCACAGATGGTGACAGAGTAAATAATCACAATCAGTATCCCACGTGTACTGTTTCAAAATTTTTACCGACCAAATCACTATTAAATAGTGATGGTTGGAAAAATTTTTGAGAAAGTTCAAAGTTTGCAGCTCTTTGACTATGGTCCATCATGTCTATATTGCTGTAAAGGTAACCACTATGTCATGTTTCTCTTTAAAAAATAGGAGTGTTCTCCCTAAACTGTCTTGTTTCACAACACTCAGAAAGGCATATTTTCATAAAGTTAGACTGAGCAAGTGAGCAGGCTCTAGTTTAAGTGCTGTTGTGCAAAGTAAGAAGCTGTGAGGTGTGTAATGGAGAGAGGTATACAAGGCATCTGTTCAATTTTCTACCAGACTGTTATCACAATCACTATGATACTTATGCTTGTTACCTTCATTTCTTTGTACATAGGTTGAAGAAAGAGATGGTACTGAGACTGAATCAAGTAGCTGCTGAATTTAGAAAAGTATCAAACAAACAGATGGCTGAGACAACCAAAAGAACCATTAGAGAGAATGTCTCTATCAATGCTCAGCTGGCCAAAATGTCTGATAAAACTATGGAACTTATCCAGGAAAATGATGAGCTTAGAACGAAGGAGAAGAAAATGAAAATGCAGGTTGACATGCTGGAACATAATGAGAAAGAGCTTGCTAAGAAGAACAGTAGTAATCAAAAGGTACTTACCAACAGCAGACTGTCATGTACAGAGTTTGTGTAATCAAAAAGCTTAGTGACAATTTTCCATAAGTGATCAGCAGTAACCCAGTGATAGCTCTGGAAGCTGTATCTGCATACATTTTTGATAAAATTTATTTTTCATTTAAATAGTTTCTCTCCTCCACATCTTTATAACTGGAGTTACATGTACTGTTGATGTCGGAGATTTGAGCAGTAGAGCTGTGAAAATAAGTAATAAAGCTGCTGAAGGAATGATGGAATGTGGGTTTTTGCACACATTGCATCACGTGTAATGAGTATGAGTTACCAGTCTATTAATTACAAGCAGGTAATAAGCAGCAGTGCCACTTTTCATTTGTGCAGGTCCTCCACTTGTATTATTTTCATCCATAAACCACCAACTTAAGTGGTATTTGTGGTCTTAACAGTGAACCCCTCTTGCAATCTGCTGAAATGGTGAAATAAATGTATGTGGAGCCTCCCTATCTCTTCAAGGTCCTAAGTTTCCAATTGCAGGATGTAAAAAAGCCATGTGTGTATTCTTTCAGATAATCCGTATGTTGGCAGAGAAAGCTAAGCAGCAAGAAGAGATGTTACTTGAATATGATGAGAGTGAGGCAAACAAAAAAGACTTGGAGAGTGAACTTGATCTGCTGAGAGCTCAGGTTGACAGTATGAAGGATGAACTTAAAGTGAGTGTGAGAGTGTTTTTATTTGTGTTTGCTGGAAGTACTTTAAAGTTGATATATAACGGTGTTTGAAATCATGAACTGCTTTTGGTATGTATTCCTTTTCAAACATCTCACAGAGTTTTGAATTTTCTTGTTTTACCAAAAAGCTTGCAAATATTCATGCACCTTTGATTTGATTTTGACCAATCACTTATCAAGGACTTAAGATGAATGAAGTGCAGGAGTGACTCATAAACAAACCTATTGACATAAATTGCTTAACAAAACTTTTTCTTGGTTTAAGTTTTCTGAGGTTGATAGTTAGTAAGCAGCTCTTTATATACTTCAAGTATTATTTTTACATTGCTGAAATATTAAATCAAAACTTTTTCTCTCAAAAATTTGAAATGTTATAATTCCTTAGAAAAGTTTTTTGTTGATACATATGGTACACCTTATAGGTATAGATGAATGTAATTAATTTTATTGCATTTTAATGTTTGAGCAGAGCACAACAGAGAAAAAAGAGTCCTTAGAGAGTGAACTTGCAAAAGTTACAAAGGACAGAGACCTGTCCATGAAGAAGAAAGATGAACTGACTGGAATTTTGTCTCAAGCAGCACAAGCTCTTAGATCTTCATTAGTGGTAATAACTGTTACTGATTATGGTTTTGGACTCTAGCTCTCAAGATCTCATTGTTATTTTTCCCCTCTAACTGCTACACATTTCCTTTTAGATTACAGTAGTTACAACAATTTTGTGTTGGATCAAGATATCATTATGATAGCAACCTCTACCAGATAGAATTCTCATTACCTGTTTGTTGGATTATAATGTACTGACATCATAGGGAAAAGTTACTTGTTAATCACTTCTGGGTGTTAAAGGGTTAAAGGCAGCCTAACTGAATAAGTGATCATTTGGTCTTCATATATGAACTGGAATGAAATCAATTGCAGAAAATTATACTTTAAAAACTGTAGACTTCAATAGGAATTAAATTTATGCCTTAGACAGGAATTGGGCACCACTTTAGACTGCTTTATAAATTAAGAATTGGGAACTGTGTACTGTAAAAGTTTACACCAGATTTTGACAATAAAATATGGTAACCTTGCCAATTAATGCAGTGCAATCATTGATGGGTCATTAAACAAACAAACAAACTCAGTTATAAAGAATATTCCTGAAACTGTTAAACTAAACTTTTCAATATTAAATACCTTCATCCCTTGGTTTTCAGGCACCCACTGTTGTCAATGGAAAGCCTGATGAAGCAGAAGCCATCTCTCAACGCGAGAACCTTGTTCAAACACTGCTAGGAATTTTGAATGATGCAGTTACATTTGGTGTGGGACCCAGTGCCAAAGATTTTATGCCACCACGTAAGACTAGTGGATACTCAAGCCCAAGCCCTGATATAGGACGACACATTCATAGAAAAAAGGAGTAAGTAATCAGAAGGACTGCTCTGAATTTTCATTTTTTAAGTTGTCAAGATTTATTACTTCTTTTAATTAGTAATTGGTAGTAATAAAGCATATCACCACATAAGCTCAACCTTAAACTCCTATGAGTGACCAAGAAAGAATTTTTCCTTACAATATCAAGAAGAAAAGTAATAAGAATAAAGAAAAATATAAATCACGAGATTATTAGTTGACCCAATTCTAAATTTTCCAAACTAACGTCATGAGAATTGTATGACAGACAGTAAGATGAATTGCTAAAAGATTTTGGGAGTGAAAGAGGTCAAATAACATCCTTAAAAAATGAATATTGATGAACAGTGTGTTAAGCTTTGCTGTCCAATAAAATCTCAAGTGAGATTTTACTTCTTTGAGTTGTCTGCTTTTGAAGAAGGAATTCTTTTTACACAACAAGACATAACTTATACTGACATTGATGTTTGTTGCATATCAGGACACTCCCCTCTAAGGCCCAGGCTGTGGCAGCAGCAGTGAATCGTCCACTTCCTCATTACAAGCTAGGTGATTTGGGAATAGTTCCCAGGTCTCATCCAAAGCTTGGAGAAAGGCCTGGGGTCTCTTCGCCATTGGCTCCTATCAGTCGGCAGACTAGAAGTGTTGGTGTACAAACAGTCAGTGCACAAAAAGTGAGTGCTTTCATTACCATACTGCCAATGATTATAAGTTATAAATTATCTACAAGGTTCTTAAATAGCCAAACTCCTTGATCATCACCTGATTGTGGAGAATTACTACTACATTGCTTTAAGTTATTGGAATCCATAGGTGATCTATAAGAGGCTTTTGCTCTAGCAAAATAATTTGTTGGCAGGCTTTGTCCCCCATTACTATTGTCACCTCGTGTGACTTCAATTGGCAACGGCTTCTGCTTATTTTGTTTTGCTTTGCGCAGAAAGTTATCATCAGAAGGTGAATTTTAGATACTAGTTTGCTTATGTAGATAAACACTTCTGTGATAAGAATAAAGTGAAAGGTGACGCGCACAGAAAAGGAAGTAAAAGATCATCACGGATTACAAAGCGCAAACTGAAAAATCCCGGCTATAACGCTTTGTTTGTTCTCCTCTCAGGCCATGTTCTTCGCTGATCAGCTTCTTTCAAAACGGAGCCCTACCTCGTCTGGTCATTCTTTGTCACATGACTATAAGTCACCAATCAGAACAGAGCTACCTGTTGGCGCTGGGTCACGTGGTAGAATACCTTGACGCGGCTGTATTGACTCTAGATTTGCAGGATTTTTAACTGTTTTCCCGATAGAGATCATTCAAGCCACATATAGGATCTGTAGTGCTGTGTTGTTCAAATCTTTCCTTAACCCTGCTATTAGAGGGGACTTCCCAGTCCAAATGATAATGAAATGAACGTCCTTTTGTCTACGTGGACTTGCTACATGCAGCCATAGTCTCTCATTTTCCACGCGTGGAAACTTTTTACCACAATGAACGATTTTGTCCTTGTAGTTGCCGAGTAACACATTCTTAGCAAGCTTAGATTTTTATCCTATGATAACAGTCCGGATTGAATCCTGTTGTTTGCAGTGTATTTGTTTTGTGTGTAGATGCTAGACACGTGGATTGTGTAAATATATCCTTAGAGTGCAATAAACACCGTAATTTTGACAAATGTCTGTGATGAGAATAACCCTTGGTAACGGGAGATCGCTTGTTTCAGGCCTATAGGACATATGACGGGGCACAGTAGTCGCGCTGAGCAGAAAAAGGAGAGAGGAGGTACAGGTGAGGTCGCGTAAAGTCCTTTACACGACTCGACCCAAACTTCCTTCCTTTTCGCCTGGCGTTTCTGTTGCGTTTTATTTACCATCTGGAAGCCAAGGACGGGCTACTCTCGTCAATGTATTGAGAAGGCATTTATGAGGGTTGCAATGAGGTTTACTGTTAGTGGCGTTAAAAGTTAACCGTAAGGACTTTTTTGTCTATGTGAAATGCGTCATTTTGAGAGTATTATTGCGGAAAGAAATTAACTGCTAGCCATAAAATGACCAAACTTTTAACCGGTTAGCCATAAAAGCCCTCATCCCATCAAGACTCATTTATATGGGAGTTGAGTTATAAGACCTTTCTCTTCTAATTGTCTTACATTTATTAAACTGTTTAACTGATTTCAGTGGCTCAAACCCTCCAAACAATTGTCGTTTCCCTTCAAATCATTTTGTTTGTAACTTCACCTCGATAACCTTAACAGACTTAATTAACAATCAGTGTGCCACTTGCTAAAAATGAAGTAAAAAAAACATTGCTATGCCAATGGTATTCCAAGTACTGAATTCACTTGAGGCAGCTGAAATGAAGATTGTAAGAGTAACAAACATCTTTGTTGTACACAGATACTCGACACAAGTGTCTTTTCGGTTCCTGGTTTTTAGTTTTGACCTTTATGACCCACGTCGCGTTTATCGTTCAGCCGGAGGAAGTTCACGAGTTTCCTCTTCTTGTTCAAAAGCACAGAAAACAGTTTGATAACGGCTCCACCGTAAGTGCAGCTTGAGCTAAATTTCATAAAAATATCATTTACAAATCATCAGAGAACATAACAGAAAGAACCTTTTCCTATATTACGGTAAGTCAAAAACCCTCGAATTTCACGGAACATCATACGTGTGACTCTCGCGAGTAACGAGAATGCTCTCCCCAGTCTTACCAAACAAAACTTCACGCTCGCTCCGATCAGAAAGTTCTTGAACAGACTAGCATGTTGAGTTTAAACAAGCTTTTCTGTCACGAAACACGAAATGTTTACTTATCCATTATCACTGGAGATGAAGGACATGTTCTAAGCTGGACTGACTGAGTATCTTTGTTTCTCTCTTAAGACTCCAGCATTGCGAGAAACGAAATAATTCGTCGAAGCAACTGGTCTCCTTAGGGAAATGCCTTTGTATCTTCTTGCAAATCATGAACCTTGTTTGATAAGGCTAGATGCAATTGCTCCAAAATGATCAGTAATAAAACGATAACAGTAAGAATATGAGCGTAAACTTCTTAAAGCTTCAACAAAGATTTGAAATATATTTTGATCGTTTTGAGTTCCGCAACGGCCGCCGACCTACTTCACCACGGAATTTTTCAAACATCGATGACATCTGTCAATTGTTGAGAAAACAAAGCAGTTACGGATGATTGACCACTGATGTGAATAAACAGACGTGACATGCTGTATTGCCACTGAATTTGAAATTTATATCCGTTGCGATGTGTTGTAAATACCGTGCCGAACACTTGGTTGTCTTGGTTTTGTGCTGTTAAATTACTGGGTTAACTTGAGCCCGCATGAATGCAAACGGATTGCGTTTTACAAAAAAATCACGATGGAAAATGACCGTAAAAGTAATGAAACCGTTGAAGATTTATTCTTCAAATTTATGGACGCTCAAGATTGTCCCGAAATCACAAGTGCTTTTGGACAACTGGTGAAACTTCTTGGTATCAAATCTGAAAATCCGCGCGAATTTTATTCGTTGCTTAAGGGAAAACTTCAAACGTGGAGGTGTAAATCTCTTTGGGAACTGTTAGATTGTCGGGCTAATCAGAAGGAATACGGCAAAGGAAAAATATGCGAAGACACTCAAGTATTAATCATTGGTGCAGGTCCGATCGGCTTGAGAACTGCTGTTGAAGTTGCTCTGCTTGGTGCACGGGTTGTGATTGTGGAGAAGAGAGAGTCTTTTGTGCGAAATAATGTTCTTCATCTTTGGCCATTTCTCCTTACGGATTTCCGCTCACTTGGAGCAAAGAAATTCTACGGAAAGTTCTGCTCTGGCTCTATCGACCACATTAGTAAGTAGAGTATTATTAGGGCAATTTTTGTTTGTGATTAATGGTTTCACTAATTGTTTTGCGAGTCACTAATGTTCATAGATCTTTGAGTGCACACTTAAGGTTTCAGGTTTGTGCAAATCATCGACTGATTCAGTAAGAACTTGTATGTGTGTATAGACTTATTTCCATACCGCCTAGTCTCACGTAATCGCATATGATAAACCAAATATATAATTGACGATGCTAAAGCTTTGAAAACAATATAATATCGGTATTTCCTTCCACCGCCAGCAGCTCTGATTCTTGCCTGTAAAACATGACCTTTTGTATGTTTCGGAACAATGAAAAGTTTGAGGGTATTTCCTTGTGTCTGTCATTTGAAAGTTTTCGTAAAAATTTCCGGTCGCTTTTTTATTTTCATAACTGAACACCAATTTGTTGTTTGTTTGAATTAATTCACTCTTTGGAAGAGGACAATCACGTTGTGAAAACACCATACTTTCGGTCCGTCGAAAGCTGTTGAAAGCAACTTAATAGCAACCGTTGTAGATAAATGCCGTATTACATGGATAGCTGTCAAGGACATTTATCTCATCTGTGTTCCAACTATTAAGGTCAAGTTTCGTGGCGACATTATAAGCGCTTATAATCCGCGACTATACCATTTGTTTTTGTGAATATGGCGGATTGTTTATCATGTTAACGTAAAGCGAAGCAGATATAGGTAATTTTCCAGAAAATAATAACGTAAGAAATTCGATCCAGTCGCCTACTCACATACATTTACACGAAAGGAGTTTATTATCAGCGATGATATTTGAGGGGAATCATTTTCCAAGCTTGGATATGATTAAATCTGGCCTTTACGCCAAGATCATCACATTATTCAAAATTTTGAAGTTGTTTGTTTCCTTGCAGTGTTTACGCTTAAAAGCTAAATAAATACAGGAATCGCAATTTTAATTGGCTGTTTATAAACACTGGCTTCGCACCTGTCTCAAGCAAGAAAGATTCAGCAATAAAAAAGTGCTAGCATTCTTTCCTCAAGCTGTTCAAAACCAGCTTTACAAGATCTTCGGTTCTTTTGCGAAAGTTTGAATTAAATTATATTTGGAATAGCCACAATAACTTTCAGACAAAATTAAAGCACATTAGACAATTGCGACATTGATTTTGTAGGTTGTTGCCATCTAAGTTTACAAAATTATTTTTTGTTTCAACTTATCTTTAACTTGTGCTGACTCAGCCCAAGAGGCTTAAATTATCTGTTTGGTTCTGTGTTTATGAAACGCAAAATTTGGACTGCATGTCTTTCATTTATATTTTTAATTGTTGATATCACTGTTTATGTTATTTTAAAACTAATTAACGTTTTGTTCGTCCCCGGTATCTCCGTACTCTTGGATGACGCTAAAGTAAAAAGTAACAATTACGAATTCGTGCGAAGGTGAAGCACTTCACCGCAGCCATTTCTTGTTTAAAAAAAAAATTGATATGTTCTGACATGCTGATCTCCTTGCCAAATCAATTACAGTTTGTCTTCAGGCAATTTGTATCAGCATTCGGAAAGAAGAATACATTAAACATACATAAATAATTTAACTAATGCTCTCTGTGTTTAAAAATAATTTACATTCTATGTTTTCACTGAGTTAAGTAAAGAGAGTTCACTTCGTCAATTTGACCAGTTGGCCATTTTACAACTTTCCTCTCATCTTCGCCGAAGAAAGACTTTACGTGATATGGCGCGTCTAATTTGCGTTTAATGTAAAAATGAATATTTAAAATTCTGTTACCAAATAATGAAAAGAAAGAGTTTTTTTTCATAAAGAGCCTTAGGCCAGAGACTCAACACTTACGGTAGCGTTTTAACGGGCAATTAATTGAAACTTTTTAAGAAATTGTGTAAGACGGGCATTAAAAAAAACAACCGACCGGTGGGAGATTGACCTTTGCCAAGGTTAGTGTATTCGGTATAAGATCTTTTTCAGCACGATCACGCCAGTTTATTTATAGGCATCTAAATATACCACGGGAGGAATAATATTAATTCTCTTTTTGCCTCCAGGACACATAAAAATATCGGCAGTAGTTCATTTTCTCAACTTAATTTAATGTGAATGTTTAGTCTACATAGTTCATTTTTTCTCCAATTCAGTATGGAACTTTATTTTTCTCAGAAGACAAAATGAAACAGGTGTTATTTATTGAACACCTCCAACACGTGCCCTCGAAAGTGGAAAAATAGCTTGCATACCGTACTTTGAACGAGAAAACAAGAAATCAGATTTTTTCACCACCCCTGCTGTAAAAAAAAAACAAACCAAAAAAAAAAGTAGAAGAGAAGGCAGGAAATTACGCACCCTGTCAAATAATCTGCGGGCAAGCTCCATATCCGCCCTCCGCCCGATCGTAACCACAGCGATCTTGCTTACACGCTTGTTGTTAGTAGACTTAGTGGACGAGTCAACTGCTAGTTATTTAACTTTATGACAATCGTCGACTTTGATATCACCCCGAATACCAATATTGTTTTTCGAAAGCTCCAAGCCTGAGCGGAAAATTTCGAAGAGCGTTTCCCTTTCTGCATATAATTTTCAGTCACCTTTTCAGAAAGACATGCCTCATTAAACTTGCTTTGTCTAGGTATTCGCCGACTTCAATCTGTTCTCCTCAAAACTGCACTTATCTTTGGTGCCAAGCTGTATACTGGTGTCACATTCGACGGTGTGATCGAACCGAACTCAGTGGAGGATGGGTGGAGGTGCAAAGTGTCCCCCGCGTCCCACCCTGTTAGTGAGTATGAATTTGACGTCCTCATTGGCGCCGATGGCAAGAAGAATGTTATTCCTGGTTTCCAACAAATAGAAATGAGAGGTAAGTGAAGACTTACTTAGTTTTAAAATTCTCCTCCATTAATGATCTGAACTGAACCCCAAAAAATAAATTTAAATTGAGTATCAATTAGGACTTTGTCACCCTCAAATAACGCCATAATTTGCAAAGAGGGACTTGAGTGTGGTCAGAAAAAAAATTATACTCAATATCTTATTAATTTTAAATACTTAACATAAATTATATACATATAGACCCCGAAGTTGTGCAAATCGTTGGACCTCAGATTCATTTATTCATGATCCCAGATAGGGAAATCGAGCTTTACCTCTCTTAGCTGACAGGCGATTCTTTGTGACATAATTGAAAAATCAGCCAAAGGCGAAGATGAAAGAAAAATGCGCTTGCAGTGATAACGCTCGATGTAAATTGTGGATCAATTGCTTTTTTAGGGACGCTCGCCATCGGAATAACGGCAAACTTTGTGAATCACTGCACAGAAGACGAAGCTAATGTGGAGGAGATTAGTGGCATCGCGTATCAGTTTAATCCGCAGTTTTTTGATGAGCTCTTTAAACAGAAGGGAATCAAGCTGGAAAATATTGTTTATTACAAAGATGAAACACACTATTTTGTCATGACTGCTGGTAAAGCAAGCTTACTTAAAAGAGGAGCTCTAAAAGAGGTAAATGAATGGAATTTGTTCATGCTGTTATCTCCTGGTCAGTCTATTAGTATTTAGATCAGCATGCACCCTAACCAATCGGCCACACTGCTTCAGTAGGGAGATGGAGATGGAGATATTGTAGCCAAAAAGAAAGTTACTAATATCACAGGGTTTGTATTGGTTAACAGGCTACACCTTAAAAGGACAGGAAATTATAGCTAAAAAAGATACTCTCCGCACTTCTCTTGCTACTGTAGAATTAATTCACACTGCTTAAATCGTGATGCGTCCTCAAAAAAACATGCGATTATCTAATAAAGATGAAACTGATGCCAATTTTTACTGGTTTTATCAATTTCTGCAGGATTTTGGCCCTTCTGCAAAGCTTCTCTCACCGAGCAACATTGATCACCCCAAATTACTGGAGTATGTCACAGATGTGGTCAAGTATGCTACAAAAGGAACCCTGAGGAACTTGGAGCTGAAAATTGTCGGCAATAATCAACCAGATATTGCTGCATTTGATTTCACTTCGATCAAAAAAGCTGAACACGCTGCTAGGATCATTGAGAGAAAAGGAAGCAAGTTGCTTGTTGGCTTGGTAGGCGACAGCTTATTAGAGGTCAGTCTCCAAATTCTCATTACTATTTCCTTCTTCTACATCTGTTGAACACTTTTGAAGAAAATACAGTTTTGTTGCATGAAGGCAAAGAGAGTTTAAACTAATTTTAACACAGCCGAAATATCTGTCTTATTCAGCGATTACTTTTGCTAATTAAGGCTACTTGTAGTTGTTTTACAGTTAACTTCTTCATTACTGAAACTAAAGTTTTGTTATATCTCCCCCGACCTGTAGCGGCTGACGAGTATTTTGGGATGGTGATAAAAGAATTGCAAAATATGAACCAGAAAAGAGAGAAAGTGAAAAGGAAAAATAAAATGTTTCATTTTACGGGAAATAATTTTTAACTGTAGTTGCTCATGCGCGTGATCGACGACTCGTGCTTAGCAGAGGTTTTCAGTTTTTCATGCGTTATCATTCCTGTTTTACATATGTTCAAAAATGTGCGCAGCTTTGAAAAGATTTTCATCTTCCTTTCTTCAGCCTTTTTGGCCCACTGGATCTGGCTGCGCTCGCGGTGTTCTGAGTGCACTAGATGCGGCATGGATGATTCGTTCATTTGCACAGGACAAACCACCGCTGCAGATACTCAGTGAGCGGGAGAACATCTACCGACTACTTTCAGGGACCAGCTCTGAAAATCTCCACAAAGATCACGCAAAGTATACAATAAACCCGGCCACACGATATCTGCACATTACACAGAAACGAATTCGAGAGGTGTACCATTTGTTTGACACTGATGATCCAGTGAACGCCGATTTCAGTGTCGGAAGCCCTCAGATAACTGTATCAAACAAAGGTAAATTTAGAGCTTTTGTCAGTAGCTAAGTCGTTGGTGTTCGTGTCCCTTCGTGCGCTCGTCAAAACGAGCTTGTATCTTTGCCTAGAGAGATGGGACAATACATTTCCCCTCTAAGCTCAGATTACTGTTGAGATATCCAATCAGTTTGATTGAATGTTGGGTCTTTAAAGCATCGGTCCAAAGGAGAGAAAACACTTCATGCAAGGTTTATGCAAGGGTGTTAACTGCATTTATGTATATGATCATATACTTATTCGTCGTTTTTTTTCCTCTCTTTTCCAGCTTCTCGTAGAAGAAGAATCAGTACTGGTGCGAAGTATACTTCATCTAAAGGTCGGGCACGAGGCCGAGCAGGTTCCCATCTAGATATTGCTGCAACTAGAATGAGATCAACTTCGGGATCTAGCGTGGAAAACTTAGTCTCGCATAACCCCCTATCCTCTACACAATCTGCACCACTCGACAGCAGAGTTCGCGCCAGTACATTTGACAGTGATGATGAAGTGTTCAAAACAAAAACGAAGCGTGTGAGGATAAAAGATTCAGCTAGACGTAGTAGGAGCTCCACTGTGGGTAGTTCAGGCGATGAACTCAAAGCCACAAGGAAAAAATCCGCAAGAAAGCGATCTATGACGAAAGACAATCCGGAAAATCCGAAAGAAAACACTCGCCGCAAAAGAGGTTTCTTTGGGTTTGGAAGGAGTAAAACTAGAAGGAAAAGCGCAGGAGAATCAGATTATCATTCTGACAAAGAAAATAAATTGCAGAAGATGAAGCAAGGAGAAGAGCAGGAAAAAATGGAGGATACATCTGTGAACGGAGTCGCCTTGAAAAGTATTCCACGGAAAGAGGAAGAGAAGGCAGGATTTGCGAGGGATGATTCCTTGAAAAGGCGCCCTGCAGGATCATTCTCGAGACAGCAGTACACAAGAAGATCTACAAAGGACATTATACGAGAAATGGAAGCTAGATCCAAAGGAGACACTGCTCCAAATGTAAATATAAAGAATGACAAGCTTGCGAGTAAAGGGTCTGACTCAAAAAGACAAGAACTTCACTCGAACGGTGAACCTCGTGGTGAAGGAGGGAAAAATAGAATGAATAAAAATGACAATAGGGAAGTGGAGGAAAAGGCAAAGATCAAGAGAGAGGATGAGAAAAAGAAGCAAAAGGAGGAAGAGAAGAGAAAGAAAGAAGAACAACGAAAGAAAAAGGATGAGGAGAAGAGAAAACATGAAGACGATAAGAAGAGGAAAGAAGAAGACGAAAGGAAAAGGAAGAAGAAAGAAGACGAGGCTAAGAAGAGAGAACAAGAGAAGAATTTACACAACAAAAAACAACAAACTACTCCGCAAAACAAGAAATCCATAAAGAAAAGTTTATTGGATGAGATAGCGGCGTAAGTATTTAGTTTTAACGCGTAAAGGAAAATATTAAGATGACGGACAGGCTTCGTTTGCTTCTCAGTTAGGAAAGGGAAGGAAAAACATCTGCACTAAAGCTAAAAGTGACCTTGTCTCTCTGCTAAATCATCAACACCTTTGGGCTTTGTGGATTTCAAGTCGCAGTTATTGCTCTCTATTTATTAATCGCTGTCGAGTCAGTTGACATCTTTTCTCTCGTTTGGTTTTGTCAACACAGGTTGTCTCCCGTAGCCAAACGTGCCATGCCGGTCCTGTCAAAACTGAGCCCTGAAAACGACAAAGAAAACGAAAAGGCGCACGAACATAGTGTAACGTCAGTAGTGCGGGATGCCGCCATGTTAGTCATGGCAACACCTCTGCTGATTGACGGAATAATACCCAAAATAGGAACGGACCGAAAGGGATCTTGGGTAAGGTGCTAATATTTTTATTTATGACAAATTAAGGCCTTCCTTCACAAATTTTCCGTCGCTTGGAGTGTTCTTCTAGTTGTTTCAATTCTTTGTTTCCTCTGATAGAATACACAGACTTCAAATTTTCTTGAGCAAGCGTTATGCTTCATCAATTTTTAATTTTCTTTTAGCTTGGGAGAAGTAGTGGTCGCGTCCGCGATGTTGTTAATCGTTACAACACATTGAATGACATGAAACCCACCTTAGACAAGATGAATGGAAATGCAACTCCCTTGAAAAGGCCGAGAGATAGGTATGACTGATTTTAACACACGAGATTTACCATGTAAATGGAAATTATCATTTTTCCTATGTCTACCGCTACTCTGTATTAATGAAAATTTGTAATCGCAAGCATCAGTTCCTAGCTATAGCTAGCTTACGGGAAAAATATGTCCCGTCGGGCTGGTCTGTTAATTGAAGGATGTTTTAACACACTGTGGGTCACTAAGGCAACCGGTTTGCTTGCTAGTTACTGCATATCAGCTCACGTCCCGGTCTTTAATTCAAATTAAAAGTAAAATGGCCTTTGTCAGTTTGTCCTGCATGCATGTTCGATGAATTTCGCTTTAGCACTGGACTGTGGAGTGAGAAAAACATTTACAGGATTGATACGTACATGTACTTAACTGTCGTGATGATCCTAATTTATTTTGCTCATGGCCCTTTTCCGTGAATAAATTATTCTCTTAGATGTTGTAATTTCTCTTCTTTCAAGTGTTGATGGCTCTGAAAGGAAACCAAGAATGATAAACGTCGACAACGAAGAAGAGAAAGGAAATCAGAAAGTAGAAGATGCATTTGATGTAAAACCAACACCTCCCTCAGACAAGAAGAAGACTTTGCAGATGAAGAAAGATGAAAAGCTTTTAATTTCCTCTCCTTCACTGGAAAGGCTTAAATTAAAGGTAAGCATTACAATCAGCAATTTCACTTGCATTGATAATTGTTTCATAAACATATAAGTATCTTTAAAGGATGGGCGCAAATAGGTATGATCTTTTATCGAAAATTTGTTACTTTGATGCAAAAGTTTCATCCTTTCTTTTCCTGCTTTGCGAGTTCGCTTGCCTTTTTTGTGACTAAAAAATTTTTTTCATATCGAGCAGATGAGAATAGATTCTTTTACCTTTCCTGGCCTATGCCTTTCGATCTGTTATCACTGAGTTGGGCACCTTTTTTTCAGCCTCACGCCATTCCTCATGCAACTGAACCTAGCACCTGAGACCTGAAAATTTTTTATATATTTTTTTTTAATCTAGTTACAGGACGAACCATCTGCCGATGATAGAACGTGTTCTACTTCGTTACCAAATGGACATGTAACAAAGGACTTTAATTCTCCTATCTGGCAAAAAACGGTCATTGCCCAAGTTGCAGAGCATCAAGACAAGAGAAAAGAAAACGAGAATGAGCATACCACAAAGATAAAGGGAGAGGTAAGATTGGAAGAGAGGATGGGGCTCATTGTGTTGGTCATAGTCAATGATCTACTAATCGCATAATCGAGATTAGTGTACACGTGTGAACGCGAAGATTCAATATTGTAGGGCCAGATGCGACATTTTCTGGTACTTCTTACCAAGTAAGTACTAGCCCACGAATCTCTGACAAGGACTAACGATCGAAATGTTTTTATTTTTAAGGCGAAAGAGATGCAGCCTGTTCGTACCAAACTCTCAAAACAAAAGCGGCGGTCGTCCGTGTTGCCTTCTGAAGCGATGGAGGAAAAACTGGTGAATCTACTGAACAGTACTACAGCTGAGAGAGCGAGGCGGTCCATTAAATACATGATAAGTCTCTTCAGGTACAAAATTTTGAAATCTTTTACTATATTTTCCGGGTGTTTGGCGGCAAAAAAGATGGGGCATAGTATCACAATTTAGGTTACGGTTCACAATATGTTGCATGTAGTGACAGTTTCTCGTCCGGTATAAGGAAACATTTCAACATTTAGTGGATTATCAAACACAGGGCTGTTCAGATAACGATATTACAATCGTGCTTATTACTGCGAATAGGTTAATATTTTGTTATGGTTTTATAATGCTGGTGTAGAAATGAGTTTCCCTACAAAATCATATGGAATAGTTTTTGGATTATTTTAAACTTTGACTTTGGATTATTTTAAACTTTGACTGGGAAGATTTTACATCTGAAACCTCAACGTCCATTCTGGGTCTGGCCTTGTTGTTTTCCTATCCTTTAGTTTTTCCTCTCGAGTTCTTCATGGTAAAATGTATGCAAAAGAACTTAGATTTAAAAAAATCTCTGTTTACCCATCATGGCCAGTCCCTCCGTTCTGTATAACACGAAATGTCCCCTTCGTTTTAAGTTTGAAAATAATTTTAAAAATTCCACCTAGGGTTTAAATGACGTGTTTTCTTAGATTGACCTATTTCATATTTGTTGTCTACAATTTTCCAGGCAAATTCAGAAAAACCCGACCGATGAAAGATACTACAGAATTTTCAAGGGAAGAGCGAGGTTTAGAAAACACGTTTGGTCTTTGAGGAACGCCAAGCTGTTCATGACTTCAAGCGGTTGGACAGAGGTATCACTTCAATTTAACTGCAACTTAAAAAAGCAGTATTCTTTTAGGCGGTCAAGTTGCTCATTTCTATTGATCCTAAGGCCACAGTAATATTATCTTTAGTCATATAAGGTTTCTCTTCTTGCAGATTGGCAGTTTCATTGTATTTCCGTTATCGAAACAGACTGAGGGACCAATGATACTGCTTAACAAGTACCTCAGGTACATGGTTTTTTTTTTTTTGGCTTGGCTGCTCAGCTTTCTTCTGATGCACCGTGCCCTCTTCTTGGAGTACAGATTTTCGTTTTAGGACCCTTTTTTTCTCAAAGAGATGTTTATGAATTTGACTTCTTAAACAGGTGACTTGGGCTACTTGTAAAGGTTGTGGATAATCAAAAAGCATATCTCGGTTTAAAAACTCCTTCTTTAGGGTTAGAAGCAAATAAACGCAAAATTGAGCGCCTACAGCGAGAGAGACCAAGTAATGGTACTAATATAAAAATAGCCATACTAGAAGATGAACTTTTGTTACTGTGAAAAACTGCACATAAAAGGTAGCGATAAGACGTACAAACTGCTTTGTTTAGGAAGCTGGTATAATATGCTACAAAGCGTTGAATCTAATGCCAAATTTCAAGATTTCATCAGTTTTAAAATTATTTCTTTGTTTATTTGTTAGTATAACAGAGGAGAAAATTAAAGAAGAGAGCAGTGTTCCCCCAAAGAGAGATGCTCCGAACCTGCGTAGGGCGAATTCCTCAGATTTGGCAGAGAGAATACTGGAACTGAAAGAAGCTTTATCTTCACCTAGGAACAATTTGAGCACGAAGACAAAATCTGGTGGCACTAATGACAGTAGAGGTTTAAGAGTATTGCAAAGAACAGTATCGCTGGATGAGGTAAACATTCGGCTAAGAGCGAAAACTGGCGTGTCTGGGACTTCACTGAAGGAATATTCAACATCCAGGAAAAGGGAATTGTCACAGAAACTGCGCAGTCATCTGGATCAAGGTAACGTCAACAAGCCAAACAAATTGCGGCGCTCTGTGAGTGAAAACTCACTTTTGGAATCAAGTGAACCTTGCGATAACTTTGAGATAATTTCATCACGAGTAATTGACAGAGATGAACAATCACAAAAACAGCAAGTTCATTCGGACCAGGTGGATGAAAACAAACCAAGTAATCTTCGTCGTTCTGTGAGCGAAAATACTCTTTTGGAAGCAGGTGCAACTTGCGATAACCTTGGGCCAACTTCATCACGATTTACTGACAGCGATAATTCATCACAAAAGCTGCATAAGCATACGGGAAAAGAGGATGAAAACAAACCTGGTAATCTTCGTCGTTCTGTGAGTGAAAACATGCTTCTAGAGTTGCCTGAAACTAGTCATTCGGATAGAGTAGATGAAAAGAAACCAGGAAATCTTCGTCGTTGTGTGAGTGAAGACACATGTCTAGAGTCAACTGAAACTAGCGATAACTGCGGACCTATTTTCTCGCCATTTACAAGGCGATTCTCTCAAAGGCGCGTCGAAGAACAAGAGGTGTCGTGCGATCTACTTATGGAGAATCCAATACACTCGGAAATTTCCACTGTTGGCATCACTTCAGATGAAGAAGATTTCCCCACAAGTAGTGCAGTAAATTCGCATTCTGAGCGGTTAGAGGTTCGCTCGCCGCAAGAGGCCGTTCTAGATGAAGCAGACCAACTGTCCTCCGTTTTGGGAAATCTTATTGACACTTTAGGAAGCTCTACAGACAACGAGAGAGAGGCTGACTCGGAGAAAGAGACAACAGACAAACCTAAGAAGAACAAAACGAGTCGAAAAGCCAAAGACGAGCACAAAGATGAGGAACTGGAAACTTTATGTGAAACACTGGACATGTTAATCAATGACACAAGCAGCGACTCCTCCTCTGAGAGTCAGAAGAAGGCGTATAAAGAAAGGAAAACACGTAATCAAGAAGAACGCCGTAAAACTGCTTTTAAACCTCCCCTGCCCCCGACCCAAAGGACCAAGCAGCAGCAGGGGAAAAGTAAAAGCGTAGAAACTGTTCAAAGCGGCTCTAAACGAAGATCGACAACGGATGGCCGTGTAAGGCATGGACGAGTTTCACAAGCGAAGAGCGTCGATATAGCGGCGTCAACGAGTAACACGAGACGAAAGGATAGGACTTCTGGAAGTGCTGACTCGAAGGTGACAAAGACAAAGACAAAGACACAACAACGACAAGGAAGTTCAACACGAACATACATTACGAGGCAAAACGAAACAAGTAACCCTAATACTTCTCGTGCGACTAATCGAAAAGAAAACTTGTCAAGTAAACGAAACTCTGATGCAATATCGTCACAAAGAATTTCGAAACGACTTGCCACAAAAAGCAAGAGTGTTGATTTGGAAAGGTCAAGAACGCGGCCTCCAGTGGCAAAGACAAAGAGTGTAGATCATCGAAGAAACGGAGTGAAAAGAAATAGGTCTGGACGTTCGGCAAGCGGCAGAGACGGCGACAAAGCACTACGGCAGAGCATAACCGAACAAAGTCCAGTGAAGTCAAGAATTCAGACTAAGAGAGAAAACCCTCGCGAATCTCTAGCTGAGCATTCAAAGGGTAAGACAGAAGAGGAAAACAATAAAGAGTCGCCTGAGCTTCTTCACGAAAATACCATCACAAAAGACGCTTCATCGCAGGAGGACGGTTTTACGGTACATGTGCCCATTGATAACAACAGTGTCAACGATGCTGAAAGCCTGGCTTTACTTGGTAAAACATTAGACAGTTGCATCGCAAAAGATCAAGACGTGACTGACGTGGGAAGAAATAGTGAAAACGAGCCTGAGAAAGAGATTGCTGAAGATCATCCCTGCTGCGAATCTGTCGTCCGAAAAAACCACGTTTCTGATGAAACAGAATCATCTCAAGGAAACAGTGACGAAATCATTAAGGTATCGAATTCTGTTCAGACCTATTCCCATGAAAACGAAGTTTTTCTAAACAATGACGTCCAAGGTGAGAATGTGGACGCGAAAAATCTCGGAAATTGCCAGAAACAAAAGCAAATGACTGCAAGTAATGGGGAACTTCGTAAGCTTGTCAATTCTGGGAAGGGGCAATCAACGGCAAATGGAAGCCTTAAAGATATGGACACGCATACGCAGAAAAAAGAAGATAGAAACCCCAGCATCACTCAAAACGGCAACACAGAGTTCATTGTACCTCAATCAGAAAATCGTAAAATGACTTTGTTGGATCTTGGAAAACAACAATCCAGAGAAAGATCAACTAGAAAAGAAGCAATGTCGCTTTCGCTTGAAGAACGAAAACAACTAATGCGAGATGCCAGTGTCACTAAACCAAAATCTAAACCTGCTGATAAAAGAAGAAGTATTCTACAAATTAAGAGCCGAAATGACGGTAATCTGGTAAAAAACAAAAAGCAGGCCTTTGAAAAACCCAAAGAGGCTCATTCAGCTTCAGACGGCTCTGATGTGAAAACTTCTAAGCAACGGCATTTTCGCTTACCGGGTAGAAGGAGAAAGTCGTTTGAGCTCCCAAGTGAACCTTTAGAGGTTTTAGCTGAAGATCAAGAGGAAGTATTTGAAGAGATGCCGACTGCAAATGAAATAAAAACTCCTACAAAGGCCAACGGCAGTTGGAGGGATGCCTCCTCTAACAACGGCGAGATCCCAGAGCTAAATAACTCTAGCGGAGAAAAAATTGAGAAAGTTGAGAAAGGAAAAAGTCATTCCCCAGTCAAAATAAGCCCATTTCAGATACGTTTTACAAAACGAAAAGGTTCTTACGATTTAGAAAAAAGAGCAAGCTTAGAAGGCATCGTGGAATCACCAAAAAAAATTTCAGGCGATTGCGAGTGAGAGGTCTACCCTACTCAAATATATCAGTTAATTAGACTTTTCTTGGAAATAATACAAGGAGTCAACACATTTCTGCTTTCTGAGAAGAAAATGCCAATACGACTTTCCATTTGATCAACTTAGTTGCAAGAAATTCGACAAAATAATTAAGATGGACATATGCTAATATTCTCGGAGTTAAAACGCAGCCATATTTCTGTCTAAGACAGACTTAAACTAGAAACAGTTCAAGACAGCTGGAGAAACGTGACAACAGCATTTTATTTCAAGAACAATTTCCGTGTTTTCTATATGTTGTTGCAGATTTCCCTTTCAATTTTCTTTCTATTAATTAGTTTTCAAAATTTTTATGCACAGGAGACACTTATTTCATGTAATCAATTTCTACCAAAACGACCTCATTGTTATTCGTTGTGTTTCCTTGTGCCGGAAACGTGAAAAGATCGTTTACAACATACAATCTCAAAGAAAAAATTCCATTTTGAAAGCTGTGCAGGAAAAAACTGTAAGAGAAATCTGTTAGTTTTTTAGCCATCAGAATTCAACGGATTACACAGGCTGGGTATTCGCTCGTCTATAGATTGAGAAAGTACAGTTTCCGTAAGAGTCAGAAATTCCCTGAAACTAAAACAATGGTCCGCTGAAATTTCTCTCGATGCCCCCTGGAATGGTCACACAGTACAATTTGGTCCGTCCCTCATTCAAGCCGGATATATTGTCCTGAAACTCACAATAGTAAAATTTAAACTTACGAGAGAGAGAGTTTTGATTCTCCTCAGCCTGACAGTATCAGACAGCGCAATTCGCTTTTGGTTATTTCCTGCTCTCTCAAGAGGACACGTGAGAGTAAACGCGAGCGATATTCATTCTCTAATATTCTCTCCGTACTTTATTAGTAAACCAGAGAATTATAATTCCCGAACAACTCTGAAAGTCAAATAACTCACTCGAACCTAAGTCTTCCTTATTGCTGATCTGTGTGGTACCGTGACGAGTTATATTCCAGACACCAAATGCGCTTGAGTATAACGCTGTATGGCTTTTGAATTTGCGGGCTCACCATATAGCCTAGATGTGCGAAAATGAATTCACGGAAAATAAATAAAGTCCCGAAAATTAAGAGATCGAAGATATTTACTACAGTGAGTCACATGACAATCCACACAAAAAAAATATGCCGCAACATTGCTTTTTTTACTGGGTGAGGGAAAATTATGGCTTACATTGATTCCTAGCTAGCATGTTCCGGGCCGTTCCTTTTTTGGCTCGTCCCCACTGACAGAGAGCCTGGCTCAGGGTATCGTATAAGCGCAAGGTCCCGCTTATGGTTTTTTAACGGGATTGCGCGCGGGACCGAGTGGTTCAAATAAAAATTTCGAGTATGAGTCAATAGGATGCGTATTTATGACGTGACGGGAAAGCGAACCGAAATACTGTTGAAATAACGCATTCTATGAATTTTTTTAGCGTCAACTCTGTACTCGAGGAACTTTGTCATTTTTTTACTGGAGCTCCTACTTTACTTTAACCGTCATTTCAGAATATAAACAACCGCTTCCTGGTCTTGCCACGCAATACGAATTTGAGACGAAAAAGTTGAGAAGTAAATATTATCATCACAATAATTGTTATCATTGTGTATTATTCAAATCAAAAGACAGAGAATTTTAGCAGAGAAGGGATTAGGGAGTTTCGGTGTCAACTCTCCCGGATTATCGACGACATCCCGGATATGGAATTTTCCGGGATACGGAGCGAATCTTTCGGTCTCCCACATAACTCGCTAATCTATTGGATTAACGTTAATTGGATTTTTTGCCTTTAAAAAGGGAAATACATCAGTCATAAAAAATTGGGCACTCTAATCAAAGTAAGTTTCTTTTTAGGTTGGATAATGTGCCAATTCGTCTGAAAGGGGTTAAGGGCCGGGTCGCACTAAAGCGAATTAAATATTTCCCAATTTTACGCCAGCCAAAATATCGGCAAAAATTTTGCGATTTCCAATTTTTGGCGGCGGTCGCATCAAATTAGTATCCTCTGGCCAAAACTTCATCGATTGACACACACGTCAATCACAAACCCATCTTCCTCTATTAAAGATAAGGAAAATTTCCCGCTCGAATTACTGGGCAAGAAAGGACTGGGGTCGAATGATTATCTTCGCAGCTCTGCGGGTTTTTTCGTAGCGTTTTCTGTATTGTAAGTACATTATCAACAAGCTTCTATGCGGCCAGTCTCATCCTTTAGACGAAGAAGACGAAGAAGACGAAGAAGACGAAGAAGACGAAGAAGACGAAGAAGACGAAGAAGACAAAGAAGACGAAGAAGACGAAGAAGACGAAGACTTCACTTAAATAGAGCTCGCCTTCGAAACCGTCTTTAATTTAGGTCTTCCCGGCGACCAGCGGTTAGACCATGTACCGTACTTCGCTTGGTTGCAGCTTGCACCACTTGTGCTAGCTTCGATAACTCCAATGGAAGGAGAGTACTCGTTGAAGCCGATCGTTCTCCAAATTGCCGCCATGCAATGACCGGGCCAGGGTACGAGTCATAGACATTCGAATAAAAACTTGGCTCAAATTCCTCGCTTCCCAGAGGAAAACTGAGGGCCAGATGGACAACGAATAAATTGTTGTGTCCTGCCATCGCGCGCGCCAAACTACACTATCGGACCAAAGTTTATTCCCGCTTAAATTGCAACTAGACATGTCTTGCGAACGATGACAGCTAACTAGTTGGAAAAACAAGAAGCAGAATATCGGCTCCTTTGAGGATTGGCGAAATTTTGGCGATCCGCAAAATTTGGCAAGGTCGCACTTACTTTACGCTACTTGTTGACAGATTTTTCGCTTAAACAAACAAAAGAAGCCCTAGTACGGCCCGGGCCTCAGTCATAAGCTTGGATATTTTTATCAGCGTTGAGTGGAAGTTGATAAGTTCAACAAGAACCGGAAGTCAAAGAAACTGTTGCATCACAGTTCAACTGAATTAAGATATATGAATAAAGGGGTAAGTTTCTAAAGAAACTGTGGTGCTGCGTCGGTGGGAGAGTATAGCAGGTAATTTAGTGTTAACAACTGGGTTGAAAACGTAAATTAGCCACCGTAAAGGGTAAAAAAGCTGACGTTTCGAGCGTTAGCCCTTCGTCAGAGCGATGAAAACGCTCGAAACGTCAGCTTTTTTACCCTTTACGGTGGCTAATTTACGTTTTCAACCCAGTTGTTAACACTAAATTACCTGAATTAAGATATACCTTATTTCTTTCTCTTCTAAGTAAGACGTCGGAAACGCTAACGCTCTATACCGATTTCTTTTCAATCATTTGTCAGCGGCCTTTTCTATAGGCCCAAGAGAACTAATGTCCAAATGTAACGTCAGCCGTAGCCTGCAAAACAGGCGTAATTTTTTTTGAGTTTCACAGGCGAACGAAACAAGCGCTAGGCGAGCGCGAAGCGCGAAAAAATTGCGCCTTTTCTCTGAGTATGATACTAACAAAATATCATTACGTTTCGTTTCATTTTTCCTTCTTCACTGCTTAAAGAGCGCTTTAACGCTCGGTTCATTCCTTTTGTTCCTGGAAGATGAGGAAGTTGGCCCGGGCCAACCTCTGCTGTCAATCAATGTAAAAACTTCCTCATATTTTTATGTAATCTCATTCAGCGTGCACATCACCGGAAGTTAAAGCATGTTTTTGGTCAGCTGTTCTTCTTGAAATATTCGTTTTCCGGTGTTCGTATACTCCTCTTCGAAACTCTGGCCGTTGTTTATTCTCGTCTGCGGTTCCTATTGTGTTAAACAATCGACTCTTTTATAATCAGAGTTACGAGTGAGTCCACAGTTCATTCGTTGCCGGAAGTTTAAACTAATGTGAACCATCCATCGGCCACGTGGAGTCCAACAGATTAATCAAGGAATGTTATTGATTGTTTAAAGTTAATTCCACATGTCTTAAACGCGCAAATGATGTATTGATAGGCTCGCATTCCTTATGATTTAACATAGTAAAGTTGGTCTACCACAAACCAAACAGGAAAATTGCTTGAGATGATTTTAAAGAAAACAGAACTTTAAGCCCATGCGGAGCATAATTGGCAATGAAAGAGTTTTCCGCTCTCACGGTTGATTTCGCTGGTGGGAAGGGGGGGAGGGGTAAGGGGGGACTGGATAGTCTCTCTCAGAAAACCAATTTTTCAGACCCACTTTATTTACTTTACATTCTATAACTTACACGTATATATTATTTTTATTAGTATATAACTTTAATATTCCGAACCACCCTCACCTCGAGCTGATCGGGCCGCCCCAGTCCCTCTTGAGTGACACACGGTCCCAAACAAATATAACCCGTCCGGTATGCTTCTATTAATAACGTAAACTCGGTGACTCAGAACGGCATGCCTGTTTGTATTGTGTGTCTGTGAGCAGCTTCGAAGTTCTACGCAAACAGATTCTCCCAAAAATACCCGCTTTTGGTGAGTAGCCTTTTAAAGATACTTCTTCAATAATTCAAAGCGGTTTATTAATATTTGAACATGGGACTGATTCTGTTCCCCGTTAGATTCGCTTGCGAACCGAGCAGGACTTTATTTCCGCTGAAACCGGAGAATGAGATCGTGTCTGTGTTGAGTGTTTACCGAACTATTCCCGTTTGAAGCTTATCTATTTCTAGACACCTTTTTTGTACTTGGTTCTTTCTGATATCATAACATCGGCCAGTCTAATCATTGAGTTCTTCAGCTTGTTCTAGTATGGCGCTGTTTCGTGTTTTCGGATAACAGGCCAGCATCACGGAATCACATTCCGCTACTACGAAGAAATGAACCGAGTTCTTGATTTGGACATAATTGTTTAGCCTAAAATTACTTTGTGTGTATTTTCGTCATCTGTTGCCATTACGAGAATAACATTTTCGCTTGGTGAAACCTTTACATGATGAAACAAAATGTGTCTTAGTTACTTTGCGCCACGATGCAAATCTATGTGTCTTCAGGCGAAACCATGCATAGTTTTTCGCAGCATTCCGCATGAAATCAGCGCGCAGTAAGATCAAGGTCACTCTCTATGTGAAGTCGCCGTTATTTCGTTGTGGTGGCTGTTAAATAAGGGCGCATTTTTATCATAACTGTGATGTAGCAGGAAATTACTGATTCATTTGAAGCAGAGTATTTTGAAGCGTGATTTGAATTTCGTAATTAATCTCGCTTTAGGGCTGATATCAGAGACGAGCGACAGATCGCTAAGTTCCGCTGGACTTTGTGTCGTTCAGTTGCTCAATAAGAGCTGATTGTCAATTGCGTAATAGACACTATTAATTGTCTTGGGATGTTCTATTGTGTCGCAATGTTTTATACTTTGTTTAATAAGGCAGCTTTGGTTAAACACATCTTGGCTGCCATTTTGTTGTTTTTCTCGATTCGCTTACACAGTGTGAATTCAAGATCAGTCAGCTTTTCTGTTTCATAAGTCATGCGTCAGGTCATGTGGACACTATATTCTGATTACACGTCAAACACTAATCATGAATAAAGAGGTTGCCCTCGACAACAGTAAGTGTTCTGGAGGTTTCCGGTGAATTAGTCACGGTCTTAGTTTGCGATAAAATCTATGGGTAGTCTGTCGCTTAGGAAAACCCCTACTTTTTTCGATCTATCTATCAATCTTATTTTAACGTAAAATGGGAAATGAGGCTTGAAGAATCAGAAAATACGGTTTGGTTTTCATCGCTTATTTGTTCTCGCGCGTAACCTTCCCTTGACCCCCACCCACCTACCCACATGACCCAACGCAGTGCTTTGCTTTGTGTCACGCATCGAAATCATTGAGTTAGGAGGCGTGTCATTCCTAGAAGGTACGTTTCTGTTCTTCTGTCGCTTTACTTTCAATACACAGCTCTTTTTGTTTCCTTAAACAGCTTCTGGACTCAAATATCGTTTAGCTTGATTTACATGACGAAGGTCCTGAACATACTAGTGTGATTTGATCGGGAGGTTGTGTTCGATCCACACTGATTATGTTGAAATACCTCAAATGTGGAATGATCACAGAAATAGAGATCTCGTTTTAAAACTGGACAAGTTGGTAATTGAGACACGAAAACAACCCTCCATAAAGGTTGGTAGAGCGATTTCATTAATAGGTTTTTTTTAATTTTTCGAATACCTCAGATTCAGATGGTATTTATTAGATCGAAGGTTAGTTAACAAAACCTTTACAGAAGATGTTTTGAATTCAGTCTCCAGGCTGAAGGCACGGAATCACATTCCTGTAGTAAGGGATCGAGGAGCATGAAGCAGTGCACTGCAATCAAGAACTTTACAATTGTAGTAGTAGTTGTCATCTAAAAGTTGTCTTTTTGCCCTGGGTTTGTGACCAGCGCGTGTAGTAATATTATCATGCAAAATATGCAAAATATTGATGCGCATGAATGCTAATTCCACGTGGATGTGAATAATAATCTCTCTGTTTAGTTTACACAATAATGTCGTTGTTATGCAATCACGTTTTATTCCCTTACCGGATTTTATGACCAGACTGCACTAGTAAAGCTATAATTGGACAATTTCGTTGGTTTCTAAACGCGGCAGATTTATCTGTGAAAGTATCAGCACGTGAGAGACAATGACGCGGCAGAATCTAGGGTTCGAACGTGCTGTTGTTAATGCTTGAATTGAACAAGGATTGTCCACTTGTAGAACGTCTTTTAATAACCTCTACGTCTTGAGGACGTAAAATTTTGTTTTCAGTTGATTTTAATAGCTGGAATTTCCAAAGTAGACCTATATTTTGATTTAAATAAAGAAATGAGCACAAACTTTCTGCCCTCTCAAGTTTCCTTTGACCCGGAATCCTATGAGTTTATCTGGATTAGCCGGAAAAAATGTCATAGATTTCGTTTTCGTAAAGAAAGGAAAAATCTAGAATCGGAACTTACGTGTTGCGATCTGAAGAATTTGCATAGCGGAATTTGTAATTATTTTTGTTTAAACACAGCTGAAATTTAAGCAGCACGTAGTGCTAGGTTCCGTCGTCATGTCTTTCAGTTGACTGTCGAACTTGTTAACTTACAACTTTTTGGTTTAAACTAAATTCTGAGTATTTCCTTCCCTACGCCGAGCGGAATATATGCTGTATATAAGATCTATGATATTAGAGCGGTTAATTTACGAGCGCATTATCTTAAAAATAATATGTGACCGCAAAGCGGAACTCATATTACAACAATGCGTGCCCGGATTTTACCACTGGTTTCCACAGGTCAGTTCGCACTTACCACATCACCAGAGCGATGAAAAGGAGGTCACGCAATGATCATGCAGACTGGAAATTTTAAGCGGAGGTTTTCAACGAGATTGCATTTCATTTATCTTTCCCTGTGACGTAAAAAGAATAGAAGTCTCCTGTGCTAGGCGCTCATATTAAAAAAAAAAAAAAAAAAAAAAAAAAAAAGGAAAAAGTTCTGTTAAGTTGATAAGATGTGTAAAGTACAAAATTTGTTGATTTGAGATTGATAACCTGCATTGAAAACAAGTCACAATGACATCAATACGTACCGAAAATTCAAAGTAAAATAGGCATAAGTGGCTAAGTTACTTTAAACAAAGCTATCGTACTGAATGTCACACAGACAAAAAGAGCTTGATAACTTCAAAGAGATTAAAAATCCTTGGGACTTACAACACGATAGCGTTAATAAGAACGAAGAACCATCTTATATTTACGTCATAATTCTATTTTCATTTTCATCGTATTGGTGCCGTTGTCACAAAAGAAATGCGTGTTGACGGTGAAAGGAAGACATAAGTGTGAGACATAACCGTGAGACATCGTTACTGCTTGGAATGTTTTTGTTCACTCGACTAAGAAGGTCAGGAGTTTCTGTTTACAGATAAAATACTAATTCTAGGTACGAGTGCCAGTATATTTCTCAAAACATAGTTGGGGAGAATTCAGTCTTGAACCGGAAATGGCCGTATCGATATAGGCGAATTTATCTCTGTATAGGATATAAGAAAATGAACTTTGTTATATTATGTCTACCGCTGCAAATATCAGTCACGAGCGTGGGAAAAAAAATTTAAGCATCCCACGAGGATTCGAAACTTAGACCTGATTTCGCGTAGGATGCTCTACCAACTGAGATACAAATGTAGAGGAAATTTGTTGTTGAGCTAAAGCTATGTGCTAGGTTCGATTGTGATAGCAGCTGGCATACTGCTACGATTAGCAAGGGCGACACCGTCCAGTGAGGAGATAGGAAAGAAAAGAAAGTAAATTTTGAGCTCGGTCGTATGCGTAGATTGACCGACTTTTGATTTACTCCAACTAGTTACAATGCCTCCTTTTCCCTATGCCTTACTTCGTTAATCGAAATCAGTAAACTTGGCTCGCATTCAGAAAAAAAGGACCCGTTAAAGCTTCTTGAATTGTGCAGAGGTCTCGCATTTATTCCTAATAGAACACATATATATGTCATGAAAGGTAGAAAAAAATCTTTGGTTATCGAGAGGCTAATGACATGCTTATATCTCAAGAGTGACCCTTCGCTCTGGCGCTTCCGGCTAAAACTGAAAGAATATTTTTATATTATTGCGACGAAACGGAAAAAAAGATCGATACCCCTGTTTTGACTTCTACTAAAATGAACAATTGCTTGAGATAAAAACACTCGAAAATGAAACGATTATTTACGTCCGCAGTCAATATTTCGTTTTTCAATGGCCAAGAATGAGCTTCAGTTTTCTTGCCAGTGTAACGAAATGACTCAATAATTGTGAGAGAAAACCTTTATTGCAAGTTACACACAAGGCCAATGAATTGAATGTTTGAAGTTTACTGATCTTTTATTTCTGTGGCTTTCTTGCTCTCTTTCCAGTTGGACCCGTGATTACCACAGCCCAAAACTAGTTTCCAAAGAGCTATGCCGAAGTATTCACCGCATACAGCAAGTTAAGTGTTCACGTTTCTTTGGCACTCTGAGGAAAATACTGAACTGATTTTGGCTGATATGTATTCACTACACGACATTACAAGCGTTTGTCCAAAATTGGAGCCGCTGGCTTCTGACGAATCTTGCTGTCGCGAAGAAGAAAGTTTAAGATTGATGAATCACGCTAATGGACAGATGGAAACACTCGTACGTGTTTCTGCTGAGAACAACAACGGTTTAATGATGGAATCGGGCCAGTTGGATGTGTATGGAAAGACACCTTGTGTGGAAATGAGTGTGTACGAGGGAATAACGACCAACAACACGATCGCTTACGAAGTGAAATCGATGGCAACCGTCGTGAAAACGCTGCCTGCTGATGCCTACCATGGGAATGCTTCGGGCCAAATGTCTTATGCAACGGTCAAGATTCCTTACGAAATCAAATCGATTGGAACTATCGAGAAACCGATTCCTTTCGGAAGCAAGCCGAATGGAATCGAGAAATCGCGGCCAGATGAAGCTTACCATTCGAATACTTGTGGGCAAAGATCTAACGGGGCGATTAAGATTCCATACGAAATCAAATCGATTGGTTCTATCGAGAAGCCACTTCTGCCAGAGGATTCGTATCCCACGAGTGTCTCCGAGGAGATGCCCCATGGAAAGATTTTGAACGTGTACACAGTTCCAGTTTACGAAAACGGTGGCAGTCATGAAGTTTACTATTATCCCATGGAGAGTGATACCCAAGAAGGAGGAGCAATTTCACAGACCTCCCAAGCTGGGACTCCTGTTAGTTATGTTTACGACAGTGGCTATGACCCCTGCGAAAGAACCCGGAGCAAACCAGAAGTGACACCTTCACCAGCGGGACTGGCCGCTTACCAGTCGAGTACTTACGGGACAATTCCGCGTGATCAATTGGGTCCTGATAGATTGTCACCACCATACGATGTGCTTAATCAAGAAAAGGCACCAGGTCTCCAAATGAATACCTTCAGGGGTACCCACAGGGCCTTGACCCCGTATGAGATAGGAGCTCAGCCAAGACCCAGTTGTAATTGTTCTTGTCATCATTCCGATCCAGGTTCCTCTCATTTTCCCGCCTTTGGTTTGAGAAATGAACGTCCTTCTGTCATCATGGTTCCTGCAACATGGAATGGTGAGGTCATGAGCGATGCAGCAGGCAAGGTGAGCTGTGACATATCTGGGTTTTTATGTTTTTCTATTAATGTTTTGTTTTGCTACCATTATCTTTGAAATATCCTTACCAAATGCAATTTACTGTAGTCTGTAGTTTTATTTTCCATCTATTAAATATAACTTTTGTTGTTGCCATTTTTTAGTGATAACAACAACAAAAGTAACAGAAAACGTAACCACAACAATAACAGCGATAACACTAAGAACATCAAAAAACAGCAACAACAAGAGCAATAATTATAAAAATAATAATAATATCAGTAATGATAATGATGATCAATAGAGGTAATACTATTCATGGCAAAAAATAGACTTGGTATTATTTTTCAAACAGTTTGAATCCACCGCCCATGGAATCAGACAGGATCTGCAACAGAAAGAATACCATGAATTGGTAGGTTTTGCCGTTGTCAGTCGTACTCGATAAAAATTGACTATGATAATTGTTAGCTTTAGTCAAGCGTTGGATGTTGTCCTTGAGTAGCATAGCGTCAAAAGTCAGACGTGTGAATCAAGTGAGGCCAGGTATGCTACGAAAATTTAGTTTTTCCGAGCTTTTGCTGATCTACGGCATCATCAGGGAATTTAGATGGAATCTTTGCAGTGAAGAGTATATCGGGTGAAGTGTTAGGCTAAATAATAGGGGTTCGGCAGATTATAGGACAGGACAATGGCAAGTATGTAAATGCAGAAGAAATATTTAGAACAAAAGGTCTATGCAGAAAATAAATATAGTCGGGGTAAATAATGTAGTCAGAATAAAAGTAACCTTGGTTTTTCGTTTTCATAGGACGATTCTGACTCATCAGATGATGGCGATGAAGATGGTAAACATGAAAAGTATTTCCGCAAGAATATCGACGGAACTACGGCGAGATTTAAGCTGTCCAAAGAAGACTGGAAGAGGATTCCAATCAACACATTCCCCAGCGGTGGCCGATTATTGAGTGGCGACTGGACACGAATCTTCCTTAGCAAAGTCAAAGAAAGCAACCCATGGTGCAGTTTGCGCTTCAAGAATAATCACGTAAGATCAGAAAACTCTCGAAAAATCCACTCAGCGGTGTTCTTCAGAGGAGGTGCAGAATGCAAGCGACCAGAGTGTAACGTGAAGGTGCGATTTGTGATCCGAAAAGAAAAAGGAAAACACGTGGAGGTGACATACGTCGGAAATGTTTGTCACAACAGTCAGCCAGGTGGTGGTGACGTCATAACTGACAAGAGAAAGAAGCGTTGTGTTCGCCGGCCAAAGTTTACGTCCAGTCTGGATGACTGAACTTTACTTTCATAACGAAACAATAACTGTTAAAAAAGAGTGAGTAATACTACTGACTGCTTAAGAGGCTGGTATGCTGCGTCCGCAGGCATGCAAAACGTTCCAGTGATTGATTATTAGAAGGTTGCAACTAGTCCTCTCGAATCGTAATCTTTTCAAAATCCGCTGAAGCGTTATATCTATTTTTCTCACCTCCTAATCTACAAAAATTACATGCTGCCTATTGCGTCTATTACTGCCTAGCGCCAGTTTGTCCAAAGTTCAAACTGAAAATTAAAAGTAAGAAAAAAGGAAATCCTAAGTGATGAAGCTTTTTTTTTCAAAAGGCTAGTTACAAAAAGGCACTACTGTGTACTAGGAAAAACTAAACAAATCTGTAATCAAAGAACTATTTATTTCCAAAATTTAATATTTTTCTAAACTGACTTTTTACATTTTGATTACTTGGTTGAACGTAGGTTTAATTGATTGACATCAGATGTCCGTTATTTTATAGATATGACAGATATATTTTATACCTTTGGCCGGTGGAATAGTTTTAAAACTTTAGGGTAACGTTTGTATGAATTTCTTGCAAAGTTTTGGAGGTGAACCCAGTATGTGATAGCTGCATAGAGAATTATCGTAAATCATAAAATTTATATTTCATATTGGTTTGAAAGAGTGAATCATAAACAAGAAAAACACATTTTATGCTTATCAGGGGCGTGGCCAATCTATACTCCTATAGGCCTGGGCCCACAATTTTTTCCGCCCGGTGGACTTTTATAATATTGTCATGAATTACCAAAATTCGAAGTGTTTGGGAACTACTAAAACTAGGAGTGTTCTGGCTAAATGTTTGAGAATTGTTTAGGCCTGTTATATTATCTTGAAATCTTTATGCGAGTCTCACATTACTCAAAGGGTCATTTACCCTTTGAGTGATGCGTCTTGGACCCTTATAGTTGGGCTTAACTCTCGTACGATGATTGTCATCGCTGATCGTGTTTGAGTTTGTCCTTGACCTTGCTTAAAGTACTCAACGGGAGGTTTTGTTTAGGTTTTAGTTCTCGAAGATTGGTTGTGTTTCAAGTACTGTGTTGTTCATTTCGAATGTCTCGTGAGATTGTTTTGGTGAGCATTCTAAAAACATGTGTTCTCTGCCAAGGTCAGTTGTTCCGTAAGCCTAGTAGTATGACTTTTGCAAATTTTAAAACGAAAATTGTACTTTCTTAGGGTACAGGCCTATAAAACGTTGAACTGAAAGCTGGCTACGCCCCTGCCAACGTTAGTCAAGTTTAGATTGCTTCGAAGTGATGAAAGTATTACTCGTGTAATGGGCATCGGTTAAGAGGATTGCAATGTCGATATATTGATTGGTGTATGCTAGTATCTTGTGGCGAATTCATTTACATGGTAAAGTGATGTCCTCGATTTCTAGCCATGTTTAAGTTATTACAAAATTTAATCTTCCTAAGCAGTGTTTTAGCAATTGCTGAATTACATGGATGCACGCAAATGCATTTAGCTTCTTTGGCTTGAGTTTAATTTTACCAATTTGCCTTTAAATAACCTGGGGTAGCATAGTTGGCAAAGTAGTTATAAACTTCTGGAAGATAATTAATTCACTATTTGTATGGCTCTCTGCACGCAACTGCGTTTAAGATGAGAAATTTGTATGCATTGTGTTAGATTAGAAGATATGTTTTTGATGACTGACCTTAGATAACATCGTTGGTGAGGTCGTTAAAAGCATTTTCAGAATATTATTTTTCCATCTTTATTGCTATAAACACCAATTGCATTTTATAGTAACGATTTTTTTGAAAATGTGTCTATTGGTTCCTTACATTTGTAAAAAAACAAATCAAAAAATAACCAAATGTTCGCAGCATTATTTGCGCTGATTATACTAAGTTAAGTAGAGAATAAAGCGAGAATGATTTTACATGTGGTGAGAGGGATTTTGTGTTCACAGTATCGCAAGACCCTGTCGATGAGTTATTGCACGACGTAGTGATGAAATTTCAAAATATTGCTTCCCGGCGATATACTGAATTGGAGGAAGTACTCCGTAAGTTAGGGAAAAAAATATAATTACCGGGTTCCACTTGCGTACATGCAAGCTTGATCCATAATAAAATATATTTTCGTGCGTCTTCCCTTGCCTTCCTTGTCATCACTAAGACCAATTATTGATTGGAATAAAATTGTACCTTGCGTTAATGTTTGAATGATCCGCCTTTTGTAACAAACCCCCTATCTAGAACCTCAAATTTCTAAAAGGCCTCAATCCCTCTCTCTAGGAAGCCACCCTTTCACTACTGCCCTTAAACAAAAAGTTTAAGATCGACTTTTCTTTCAGCCTGGTAGTTGGACAGTATCGAGATAAACATGGATTGAAATCGTCAGTTTCTTAATTTCAATATTTTCTTCTGAATATTGTAAATTTTCCATCCAAAGAAATGTATAGCGCGCTAAAAGTTCATTAAATTTACGGCTGAGCGACGGTGAGTGGTAAAGTGAAAGTTATTAACAACAATTTTGTTTTTCATCACTGAGTTTCTGATTAGTAGCCATCTCGTAAACTTCCCCCCTATCCTGAAGCTTTCGTCAATTTTAAGCATCCCCTTGGGCCTATCAAAGTAATTACGGTGTTACATTCGGCGTCCTATAGACACACTTCATTCACACCTGCCAAAGTCCTCACATTATGTTAAGATAAGGAGAAGATACGGATTGGTAGATTGAAAAGATTACTCGTTAAACACAGACCTTTTGTGAATATTCTCAATTCTTTCGGTAGCTGACTGAAAAGAATAAAACAGAGGAGCTGTGACTCAACCTGAGACAAGTAAAGTTATACTCCACAAACTGAGACGTGTCAGGATGGATTTCCGAGCAGCCGTTTTTCTAATGTGTATTTTGGTGTCAGCATCTTTTATTACTCAAAGTAAAGCAGTCATAGGCCCTTCGATCGAATCTGGGAAAAGATACTCAAAGTTTTCACTAGAAGCGGATGAAGGGAACTTCAACCAGGTTCAGTGTCTTATGTTCGTTACTCTAAGAAATATGAGCTCCATACAGGCTTCTTCGTCACTCTCCAACGCCGTTGATGTAGTCACACTTTCCTTTTGTTTTGTTTTGTTTTTTTTATTTTACAGAACTCATTTGACGAAGGACGGACTATTCGAGATTTATGCGTGGCTGCGAGGGACGTCTGTGAAGGAGGAAAAAGAAAGTGATGAAAACACCTCACAACAAGTTTAGAGCTTCTTTGCGTCAAGTTATAATAATCAAAACTATATGTAAAGTTTCGGAGAATATTGTGGATCACGGATTGTGAGGAAAGATAATAAAATAATTAAAATCGAGTGTAAAATTTCAAATTGGTGGCTACTTTCAATTTGTTTGAAGGGTGGGGGAGGGTATGTTCGTTTGACTACTGAGTAACTCTTGTCGGGAGGTAAAAGAAACAATGAGCCCGCGTTATAAACATATCATCTCGTGTTGATAGTATCTCTTAAGTGTTACTGAAAAAACTTTTCCTTTAATGGGATATAGTTTAAATCATACTAGTTGGGACTTAAAGAAAGGAAAATATTTAGTAAATGAAAAGAGTTGAAAACCAGGCAAAGCGCAAGGGAAGATATGTCCGAAATGAATTTAAAACCTTAGTGCGTTCCAGATTTTATCGTGGAACCCAACATATCAAAGTCAGACTTAAAAAAAAACCGTAGAAACACAATTGTAAGGGTAGAGACACAAACCAGCTTTCCCAGTTTTAAAGTACATGGCGATAAGCCCACTGAAACCTTCAAACGGGCACTAATAGTATTCCTTCCCTAAAGTTTATCCTCGAACGTAATGAGAATATTTTGAATGGAAATTACTCTGATGGGTTCATCAATGATATCGACAGTCACATCGAATATTACCAAGTTAGTTACTATTATTATTATTATTGATATCATTATTATTATTATCATTATTATAATTGTTGTTATTACTATTATTAACATCATCATCATAGTTTGTAATATATTAATCGTCTCCTGCCATAATGGAAATGATCCAAATAATATTTGATAATAGCATGTACTCAGAGCAAACGCTACCCTGAGCTTCCCTATGCCAGCTTGATTTTACATATTCGTAGTTGTTAGGGATAATTAATGAAAATTGTCGTATTCCGCTCCGCCTCCACCTCATTACTTGGAATCTTTATTGAGATAGTTTGCACCAGGACAAAATGAGTGGACCCTTGACATGGATTGAAATTGTCAGTTTCTTACTTTCAATATTTTCTTTTGAATATTGTAAATTTTTCATTCATTCAATGAATGAAGCGCGCTAAGAGTTTATTAAATTTACAGCTGAGCGACGGTGAGTGGTAAAGTGAAAGGTATTAATAACAATTTTGTTTTTCATCATTGAGTTTTATGATTAGTAGCCATCTCCTAAACTTCCCCCCTATCCTGAAGCTTTGGCCAATTTTAAGCATCCCCTTGGGCCTATCAAAGTAATTACGGTGTTACATTCGGCGTCCTATAGACACACTTCATTCACACCTGCCAAAGTCCTCACATTATGTTAAGATAAGGAGAAGATACGGATTGATAGATTGAAAAGATTACTCGTTAAACACAGACCTTTTGTGAATATTCTCAATTCTTTCGGTAGCTGACTGAAATGAATAAAACAAGGAAGCTGTGGCTCAGCCTGAGACAAGTAAAGTTATATTCCACAAAACTGAGACGTATCAGGATGGATTTCCGAGCAGCCGTTTTTCTAATGTGTATTTTGGTGTCAGCATCTTTTATCACTCAAAGTAAAGCAGTCTTTGGCCCTGCCCCACCCGCAGATGGGAAAAGATACTCAAAGTTTTCACCAGAAGCGGATGAAGGGAACTTCAACCAGGTTCAGTGTCCATACCGGCTTCTTCATCACTCTCCAACGCCATTAATATAACCACATTTTTCCTTTTGTTTTGTTTCTTTGTTTTTTATTTTGCAGAACTCATTTGACGAAGGACGGACTATTCGAGATTTATGCGTGGCTATGAGGGGCATCTGTGAAGGAGGAAAAAGAAAGTGATGAAAACATCTCATAACAAGTTTAAAGCTTCTTTGCGTCGTGTTATAATAATCAAAACTATATGTAAAGTTTCGTAGAATATTGTGGATCACGGATTGTAAGGAAAGATAGTAAAATAAATAAAATCAATCGTAAAATTCAATGGCTACTTTTAATTTGTTTGAAGGGTGGGGGAGGGTATGTTCGTTTGACTACTGAGTAACTCTTGTCGGAAGGTAAAGGAAACAATGAGCCCGCGTTATAAACATATCATCTCGTGTTGATAATATCTCTTAAGTGTTCCTGAAAAAACTTTTCCTTTAATGGGATAAAGTTTAAATCATACTAGTTGGGCTTTAAAGAAAGGAAAATATTTAGTAAATGAAAAGAGTTGAAAAAAGGCAAAGCGCAAGGGAAGATAAGTCCGAAATGAATTTAAAACCTTAGTGCGTTCCAGATTTTATCGTGGAACCCAACATATCAAAGTCAGACTTGAAAAAAACCATGGAAACGCAATTGTAAGAGTAGAGACACAAACCAGCTTTCCCGGTTTTAAAATACATGGCGATAAGCCCACAGAAACCTTCAAACGGGCACTAATAGTATTTCATACCTAAAGTTCACCCTCGAACGTAATGAGGATATTTTGAATGGAAATTACTTTGATGGGTTCATCAATAATATCGACAGTCACAATGAATATTATTATGTCAGTTACTATTATTACTATTATTATCATTATTAATATCATTATTATCATTATTATAATTGTTGTTATTATTATTATTAACATCATCATCATAGTTAGTAACATATTGATCGTCTCCTGCCGTGATGGAAATGATCCAAATAATATATGATAATAGCATGTACTAAGAGCAAACGTTTCGTTGAGCTTCACTTTGCCAGTTTGACTTTACATGTTCGTAATTGTTAGGGATGATTGGTGAAAACTGTCTTATTCCGCTCCGCCTCCACCTCCACCTCATTACTTGGAATCTTTATTAAGATAGTTTGCACCAGGACAAAATGAGTGGACCCTTTGGTTTCTATTGTTTTGTCCCTTAATTGAAATGTGAAAATTCTCCATATTTTAACGCTTTGCTAACGGCCACACCTGCCCACGGAGCTTGAGGACTGTAGTGTATGTCGTCACAGTTCATACTCAAGAAAACGATACAAGTACCCAACGGGCAAATAAGGAAAGTGCGGGAGGCTATCCAATTTAGGCGTGGAATGTGCGAGAGTGGAACTCTAAACTCCTGACATGTCAGACAGCGGGAGAGGGATATGATAATATGGATATATGATGAGGAGAATTTCGCGGCTGAATTGAAGAAGTGACCGAGAGTCCGTGAACAGATAGAAACATTCTGGAAACAGTTAGTGATATTTCAAGCGATTTATTATTTGTTATTTATCGCTCTGACATGGATACCGGACGAGATTACACTTCATTTTGAAATAATCTTTACTGCTTAAAGAACTTATTGAAAGAGTCCGTTTTGGTCGTCATTTTCTTGTTCACAAACTTCCCTCATAGCCACACAAATGTCACGGACAGTGTTCGCTTGATAAAATGAACGCTGAAAGATATGAAAAGATACGAAGAAAAGGCTTTAACAGTAATCAAATAAACGTCGTTGGTCTAAACATCATTAATGGTCTACAAGAGCAAGGCAATAGACCCAGTTGACAACACCGTACCTTCTGAAATAATTCTCTATCTTTTTTCATCCTTAGTGATCCAGGATGACGAGGACCGAACACTGCTTCTGTTTGACAGATCATGAAGGCTGAAATCAAAACACAGAATAAGAGGAAAGTGACTCTTCGAGAATCCATCGTTTCAACAATCTCTGAAGCGTGAGAAAAACAGCAGCAATGAAAGATAAACTGAGCTCTGCCCAGGGAAGTTTGTGCGTTTTATACCTTTATTCACATCGGTTGATCACGCACTGCATAAACAGCCATTCAGTTGAGTTTAAAAATTGGCTGAAATTGTCTCTAAATACCAAAATTAAATGTTATTAGAGGTTTATGGCGTCTGAAATATGTTTTGGGCACACTAAATATGTAATGGGTGCATGTTGAGTAATTACTGTAATGAGTGAAATTTTGCCAGGTGAGAATCCTCTTTTTTGGCAACAATTTTTCACAGAATTTTGTCGTCAGAAAAATTATAAAAAAATAACTGATGGGAGGGTCGGAGCTCTCCTGGCCCCCCCTGCTAACTACGCCTCTCTTTAACTTTACAGTTCGCGCACTTAAAATCAATCTTTCAAAACTTCAACAGCGGTTTGAGTCATTTTAAGTAAAATCCTTCATAAGAACTGACTTAGGGAAAAGCTGCATTGCTTCCCACTTATAATTAAGGGAAGGTTGGAGTTAAGGTAGTCAGCCATGTCCATGTAGCTTTGATGCAAATTTTTCTTTAAAAAATTATCAGATGCCGGGTGTTTCACATTTTTCTTAAACCGACATTTTAATACAAAATAAATTCTTCATACTTCCAAATTGTTTCCAGCCAATGGCAACCTAAAATATTTCTTACAACCGACCGTCAAAAGAGGAAAGGCCCAGTTGATATTTCAAGCATCTTTGGTGACAAGAAAAGAATCAATTTAAAGATAAGAGTTGTTGAATGCACTATCTTAAGTATGGCACTAAGGGCCTGTTTACATGGAGGTGTGGGACCCCTGGTAGGTGAGGTAACCCGCCTGTCCATATAATTTCTTATTTTATTTTGATCACCTTCACATGATAGGTGGGGTGACCCGCCTAGGCGGGTTGTCCTGTCTGCCAGGTAGGGTAACCCTGTCAGCCGGGGTGACAATTTGCCATGTAAACGTCTCAAGGTGGGGTAACTCGCCTAGCCAGGGTAGAGTTCATGGCAAAAAGCTCAAAAGCGAAACATGTATGTTTTAAAACTTTTTACATTTCCTAGCCGTCTCATGGCAGAATTCACCAGAAACCGCAACGGACACACAAGGAATGTAAAAATTTTCACATTTCGGAATATTTAGCGTTGTAAATCGACTATATTTGGTTTCCCAAACTACTCCGTATAACGAATTAAGTCAACGGTTTCTCGCGAAACCAAACACTGCGTAACACAACGCGTGACGCTTTCATGAATAAATACATTTGTGTCCGAGAATTAATCTTTCGTCTTTTTCGAGATATGAGCTTGGGACGCCTCTGCTCAAACTCCTTAATTGCAAGCGTAACAACAACCTCAAGAAACCTCACCCCAGCACCCCGGGGTTGTAAGATTGCATGTAAAGGCGTTTTTATTTTTCGACCACGGCTAGGCAGGTTACCTCACCTACCTGGGGTCCCCCACCTCCATGTAAACAGGCCCTAATTTCAAAATAATTTTTAGGCGCCACACGTCTTGAAAGTAACGTTTTTTTCCCAGTCAAAATTTGAAAACGTTAAGTCGGGATTACGCGTAGAAATTTTGTTCCAGTTATTAGTATTATGAAGTATGTTTTGTGGCAGAGTGTCTGTTAATCCTTTCGCGTAAGGAGGCGCGGATGTTACGGGCTTGTAAAATGTTTAGGAGCTTTTCAAACGTGACACCTGCATTAAAAAGGCAATTTTGATAAGTGATGAATTCATTACAATGGTCCAATCTTATCACAAAAGAAGATAATAAACTTCTCTACCAATGAAGAGGCATTGCTGTTCACAGGTGCAAAACTTCAGTAAAAACAACGGGCAGCACAAGAAACTACAAACGAATGAACTAATTTGAATAATAAACATATGCGGTCTTTTTCCAGCTTAATTTTGAGCCTTTCAAACAAGAATTTTTATCCAGCGTCAAAAAATTCGTTTTTTTCGGGCGAGTTCTTGTCGGGTAATACTCTACAAACAAATGGGTCAGTTGTTGGTAAAATTCAAGGAATGGCGTGAAAAACTTGAGTTATCGCACGAAAAGGCAAAACATGGTAAATATTTTAAAAATATCTCTTATTTACCGTTTGTGAGTTTACACGGTTAACAAAACAGTTGTTCGTGGTAAATTCCGGTTCATCTTTAAAGAAAGCAACTCGAATTTGACGCATGTTGTTGACTCCAACCAAGAATATTGTTTGTAAACTTTTCACATACGCGATGATGGCAATATTTTTACAATGATTGTCTCATATGCTCCGTGACTTCAAGATGTCACTGAGCGTTAGGATCAAAGATGCTTCGTTATTATCATTATTACTACATCTTATGACAGATAATCTTAAATTGAGATCGGCAAATACTACATTTGTTGGGCACACTTACCATAACGCTTTTTCTAACGAAGATGTTTTCATAAAACTGAATTCCCGTTTAAGTTTCTTTGAGCGCTAACAGCGACGATCAAAGAGCGAGATATTCCAATACAATCCTTCTTTGACTGTCAAATGAAGGCGGATCACATTTTAGTCCAGAATGGTTAAATTTTAGTTCCAAAATTAAACAACCTATTCAGAGATTGCCTGTTTATAATAACTTCTTCCTTGAAGAAAGGGTGCAGAATCGGTGAACTTCCGAAATGAAAATAATATAAAAGCCACCCACTGAAAGTCCGGTCAGGAATATTCATTTTCATTTAACTGTCACATTTTATTCCCCTTAACATTTTCAGTATCTTTTTCAAGCACAAGAGTCAATTATGACATCAAAACCTTGGCAAATGAACGAGCTTTCTCAGCTCATTTTACATATATATCAGTCAATATGTTTTCAGTGTTTAAGTACTATTTTTTAACAGATCGTTCAGACTGAGGATCGAAAGACAATTTTTTTTTATTATCATTTACCAAATATTGCTAAGATATGAAGATTTTCGTCATCAGTAAAACTGTTAGGATTTTGATGTTTGACATGATTTTCACAATGCGTTTTCCTGAATATCATTTTCTTGTAAGTAAGCTGTAAACAGTGTTATATCCATATCATGAAGTAGACTAAGCACTAGTTGTACTGAGATTGGTCAATTGTACAAGAGCGGAAAAACGGCTTTTCGTAATGCAACAGTTACTACTAGAACAGTTATTGAAGTTTTCAAACAAATTGATCTCTTTCGAGATATTTCACCGGCCAAGAAGGAAGCAAGAAGAAAAAGCAAAGAAGAATACAACTATGTAGAGAATTTAAAGTTGTTTTAATTATTTAGTTATATTTTTGTATTGTTTTGGTTCGTTTGATTGCAAAATTAAACGTAAGAACTTCATAAAGATGCAAAAAAACGTTTTAAAACTGTTTGAAAAGGCATTTTGACGACGTTTCGACGTTGCTTCACGTCATTATCAAGTCAAGAGTAAAAAAGACAAGTGGAAAAATGTAAAGTAATTGAAAACAACCAAAAGAATGTTTTTGGCCCGTATGGGTATACGTTTCCAAGGTGAAACTACTCTGACGCAGGGCTAACGCTAGAAACGTCAGCTTTTAAACTCCTATCAACTCAGTTGATAACACTTAATTACCCTGTTATACTCTCCCACCGACGCAGCACCCCAGTTTCTTCAGAAACTTACCCCCTTAAATATGTTAGGTGAAAGAAAGGCTTGGAGCGAGTCGAGTCATTCTGCGCGTTCAATGCGGAGAGCTTGATGTCACGGATAACAAGGATATCGTAGATTGCCTCATTTAAGTCCTTAAAATATGTACCAGCAAATTGACTGTTTGATTTGATATGCATTTATATGATGAGGTCTTTTTTTGTGTGTGTGTTTATTAATTATTGACTCATTTTTGCACAGGGTCTTCCAGGACCATCTCTCTGGAGCAGAAGTTGTTACCCAGTGAAGACGATCAGAAACCAACCAAAGACTACGGTGCAACACATGAAACTAAAACACTGCCATCCTCAGATGAACTATTCACGAAATTAGACACGTTGGAGCGTGTCTTGGATGACCAAAAGAAATTCCTCGAGGATCATGATGCAAAGATACAAGAAATAGAAAATTTTATTAGAAAACTAGCCAACGAGCGAGAAGAAAATCAGCTAGGTGAGCATGGGGAGAACGTAAACTGAATCTAGAGGTTTTCAGCTTGGAGGCACATCTTAATGGCCGATAAAACTGTTTCAGCAAAATCGACTTGAAAATGATTCAGGTTACCAAGCAGTTGGGAACAATGCTGTTCTTTCCGGGACTATTAAGCTTCAGGAGACTTTTCGTAGCCCAGCCATTAGCGTCAAAAGACTGTCCTGCATTGCGCTAAGATTCGAATGTCTCAGAGTTCCGGTACCGGTATACCATCTACTTTACTATCAAAAATTGAGTTCTAATTTTGTAAGCAAATGCTTTCCATTTTTCGTTCTCCAGCTATTGAGTTGCCTCACTGTCTCGTTTCAGAGGTTAAACTCAGTGACCCCTGGAGAAGGTTTGAGCAGCACAAGCAGATTCTAACGAGCCACGAGGAACGACTCGAGAAAAATGCCACCAAGATTGAGATTATTAAAGAAATGCTGGATGACATACAAGGTACGGTCTTAAATAACCTTTTTGGTACCAGTATTTTTTTCGTTTGTTGATTTTTTTGGGTCACCATCTGGCTCTCTTAACTTTTGTACATGTAGGACCCATGTAGCTTAGGCCTATGATCAGCCCTCGTGGGCTCCCCTCGTGAGCTCCCCTCACGCACGTTTCGCGGGAAATAACTTTTCCTTTCACGATTCATGGAAGGGAATTCTAAAAAAAAATTAAAGATCTTTAAAATCACTGTATCTGAAAGGTGGGCTTAAAATTTCTCTCTTCACAGATATTAGTTTGATGAAATGATGCCTTTCGAAAAATACATCCCATCAATTCAATTTCCCATTTGAATGAAAAGTCCTTCCGTGAGTCACGAGTATGCTGTTACCATCTGCTGAACAGTAAATATTTTTCCGTAGCCCCATGTAAGGGGTATTGGAAATGCATACGTAATTTTGCTCAATGTCAGTTTCAACACGACTGCACCCCTACCCCTCCCCTCACCCAACAACAATGAACTACTAGCACCTTTGAATTATTGTTACGTTAGGGGAGGGGTAGGTGCTTAGTTGCTCAGATACTCACATTGATCCTGTAATTTTGTTTTAAACTTAAAAGGAGGCCAAGGAAGTGAGGTGTTGAAGCAAAAACTTAAGGAATACAAAGAACTGTTGAAAAAGGGAAGAGAATGTTATGAGAGGTTAAAGGAAGAGGTAGAGGAACAGCTTCAAATCCAACAGAAGCAACTCGATAACATGTTAGCTGGTTTTATAGTGGGTTTTGTGGTACTGGTGATAATTTTCATGGTACCAAGAACACTTTTGACATCTGGATAATACCTGTACCACCAACATCACACATTGTTGGAACAATGCTACCAGCTGTTAATATTACTGTCATTTAACATTGGCAAACATGGGCAAGGCCGCAAAACAGGGCTCAAATATCAAACTGCATTAAAAATTATTACTGCTATTTAACATTGGCAAACATGGGCAAGGCCACAAAACAAGGCTCAAATATCAAACTGCATTAAAAATTATCATTACAGTTGTAATATTTGACAACAAACAGTTTTAGTCATTAAGGGGTGATTTTCACAAGAACTCACTCCCTAAGGTATGAAGTAATTTAACTTCCTTAAAAAAATTATCTTGACAAGCGTGTATGACAAGCTTATTCCAAAGGAACTGATCTGTTAATAAAATAGACTCACTCTTACAAAGTTCTTGTTTGCTGCATCCTACAGACACCCTACAGACTCTGATATTAACCACCATATGCTAGGAAAGAAAAGAATGTAAAAAGGGACCAAAATTATTAGCCTTATTAGAGCCCCTTTCCACAAAGTGGCTCAGGGATAGGCTTGTAATTTTGTTACATTCTGCCATCAATCATCATTGTAACAGGCAGAAACAAATGAAACTGACTGAAATCATGCCATCACATTCAGCACATAATCCTTTTAACCCCATCAAACATTTCTCCTGTTAATCAGAAGGTCTGCTACATGACTAAAGGGGCCTCAGAGAAAATTTCCATGATCAATCTCCACCCTTCATGATTTACATGTTATATAGTTTCTCCACAAAAAAATTGACCTTTCAATTGAAGGAACCCCAGAAACCAAAAAAATGCCAAAACCATACACATCAAAGGCTCAACAAATATCATGATTTACATTCAATAGACTTAAAATGATTTTTACCTTTGATTTCTCTTAAGAATGGCCAATTTTCTTACTTTGAAGTTCATTGTCAAACAAGATACCAAAGAATGTCACCTTGCCCAGACTTAATAGTGACATCAAATTGATTGTTTTTCCTTACAATTATTAAAAAATGGGCATTTAAGTTTGTCACAAAGAATATGGTTGGTAAGAGGGGAAGGGGAACAAGGGGCATTTTATTCACCTCTCTCAGGTTACATACCATAAGTCAGAACCAGTCAACCAGATCAGGCTATCAAAAATAATAATTTTTTTGCTTATAAGTTCTTTCTAGCCAGACTAGTCATTTCCTAAATTATGTTCCCAGTTAGAATGGAATTTTAAAAGAATCAGCAAAATAGTGAAAAAATGAAAGAAAAAACATTCAGGCAAGCACCCGGGGTGAAGGTCTGAGTTGGTCACTAAAAAGCCAATATGAACAATCAGAATGAGGTTTATTGATAATTACAGGTAGAGAGCTTGGGGTTACTCAATTCCTACTTTGTTCTTACTTCATGACTTCCTACATCATAGAAAAAATTCAGTGATCTTCCTCTCCAGTGGAAAAAAGCACTAGCTAGCTGACTGATCTGCTCAGTACAAAGGTCTCTTACTGTAAGATCATCTGCAAACTCTAGCTCATCAAAAATCGTATGGCTTCCTGGGCTAATAGTTTCCATTACATCTAACACTTTGCTTTTTGGTTTAACCAAAAGAAGTCTGATGAAGTAGTTTAAATATTCCAGATCTTCCCTTGCTATGTCCACACTTGGTTTTTTTTTAGGTATAATACTCACCAATGTCAGAAAACTATCTTTTTCTTTTCTTTGAACAGGATAAAACATTGAACAGGGTTCTCGGAGTAAAATATTTACATCGCAAAACATTTCCAACATGATTGACTGTCTGTTGTAATATTTACTCCCAAACTGAGCAGTGATTTTATGCGCTCGATCCTCTGCAAAGAAAAAAGCCAGTTCACTCCTTCCTTTGTGGAAGATGCCGTTCTTTGCTGCTATTGCCCCAAGATGCCTTAACAAATTTCGGTGCACAACGTCAGGGTTAACAGCAGCCTCGATACCAATAAATCTCGCTGCTAAATGATCGGATTCCCACGGCTGGGGTTTAACCGATCGAAGCACATCCTCGGATGAAATAGCTGGAGGGATGCAGACATCTTTCTTCATTAGATGAGGGTCGATTTTACTGAAATCACCATGAAGGATTTCAAATCTTTCCCCTTCTGGAAGTTCCGATTTGAGGTCTGTTAACGACAGATGGAATTTCCTCTCCGGTTCAAGTCCAATAACATGACTCGCTCCGGCTTTCAATAATGCTTTCACAAGAACTCCCGTCCCAGGATTTGTTACAACTATTGATTCGTCTCGTAAAGGTTCAAGCCTTTTTGCAATTTTAGCGGCCAATTTCTCGTCTAGAATGTATTTGTAGTTTCTCTTCAATTGCGTATATAAATCATTGTAATTGTATCTCACCAAGGATGAGTTTTGTGAATGGTACAACGAAAGAGTCCTATTTAAGGAATAAAAACTTTTAACCATCCACGATAAACTCTTCCACCTAGCTGCCATGTTGTTATGTAATAGTCCGCATTGATTGCTGGGAATGTTTTAGTTTCAAGATGGCGGAGGACAGGGAGGTATTACGATACATATGGGACGGAAGATTACCTGTCTGTTTTAATTTAAGTTCAGATGAGGTGGTTACCGTAGAACAGCCAGATCCTTACTATGTAAGTATTGTTTTACCCTATGTAAATTGAGGTGGTTTAAGTGCCAAGTTGAATGCATTGAGCTGTTTTAGCAGTGAGTTATTTCTCTTCAGTGTAATTTCTTCATAGCAGTCGGAAACATTTTTCTTTCTGTGTTTCTGAAATCCCATGATGGATCTCTTATAATAATTTCTGTAGGTAGAAAATAACTGGTTCAATATGTCTTTCAGCTGTTGGTCCCAAGACTGAGTTACCTGACTCTTGTCACGGATAAAGTTCAACGACATTTTCAAAGGGCAATCAGTAATGAAAGTGTTGATGAAGTGTGGTTTGAATATGATGGACAGCCATTGAAATGGTAGGTGTCTCTAAGATTCTACCTTAAAGGCGAAAGTGTGTGAAAAATACAGGCTAGTCATTACTTCTTATCTTATCCGCAGGTCAATTTGTATATGTTTGATTTGCTTTAGTATTTCCACCTTAGTATTAGTTTGCAAGTTTTCCATACATTTTCCAAGGTACTCATAAAGAAACTTTGCTAATCAGTCAAGAACCTCTAGAGTTGCCGATAATTTCCTTAATTCATCTGACCTTAATTTTTTATTCAACCATGATACTGTCAGGAGAAATTAGTTGCTGATCTTTCTTAGACGTTAACGGTTTTGGACTAAAGGATTTATGAATGGGTGTTAGTGCAGGTATTCTCACAACATGGTGAGAATTTTTCTACCATATAAGACAAGGCCAATTCTCAAGGTTGTTTAAACAGGTCATTTTTCAAAGGTCAATTTTTTAGGTGATTTAACCAGGTTATGTCTGAAAGGTCAGTTAGATTTTGTAGATATTGCATGGAATTAAACCTTTACACCCTAACATCAGCATGCATATTCTCCATACTTTTTCCTATACATTTCCTAAGGTACTGACAAAGAGAATTTGTTTAAGAAAATGTTTAATCAAGAAAATCTTTGGTTGGTGATCATTTCCTTTATTCTCATAACCTGACTGTGTGTTGCAAGGGTCATACTGTTGGGAGAAATTACATGCCAGTCACTCTCAGTGGTTAAAGGGTCAAGAAAATTTCGGAATAAAAAATAAGTCTAGTAAACAATTTAACCATGTTTGTTATATGTTTTCAAATTCATTTACAAGGATTTAAGAACCAATCAAAAGTTGCATTTTTCTCAAGATTTGCCTTGCTTTGTAGCTCATCTGTTAGGGGCACTGAGCTAGTACCGTATTTACTTGTGTATAAGTCGAACTCGTGTATAACTCGACCCCTCATTTTCAAGGTCAAAAATCAGATTTTTCTTTATTTCAAGTCAAAGAAGTAACTCTTATTTTGGAGAATGTATTGAAAACACAGGGAATTAAAAAAAATGCTGAGCAAAATGTAACCATATGCTGTGAAGTTTATTAGCACTTGTTGATGTCACCCCGATTTAAGTATATATGAGCACCTCGATTTACTGGAGAAGTATTTTACTATATTTTTGAATCATATTGAAAATGAAATCTTGCATTAATATTGCCTTCATCTTAATGCTGAGTTTGAAGGAAGATTAATTAGACTGAAGGAGAACCGAAGAACTTCAAAGGATCACACGTAACATACAAGACCGTGCGAGCCAGGTCACCAAGCCACTGAAATCATTCGATGAAAACAAAAGTTCAGCACTGTTAACAGCAGCAAAGCTGGAGGCAAAAATGTCTGCTCTACAGTCTGAAGACACAATAAAAATCAGCTCCAGTAGCTTTTTGTTAAGCCACTTAAAATTTATTATTTCAAACATTTTTGTTGAGGAAGAATGCGGTAAAAAGTGACGAAATTCAAACACAATTAGAACTGGTTTTATAAACTTGGTCTTCCCAACGGACTTCAGGTAAATTTTATGCTAATTTCTTGGATTGCTCAAATCAGGTCTTTGTGTATAAGTCGAGGGTGATTTTTTGGTCGTAAGAGGTTGACTTATACACGAGTAAATACAGTATCTGGAATGCATGAGTGTAATTCTTTTTGAACCCTGAATTTTTTTTTCACTGAGTCTTAATTATCAATGATGAATTTGCTTGCAGTCAACCAGTGAATATTGATTCATTACGTCTTACATTTCCCAAGATTTGCCTAGCTTTGTAGCTCATTTGTTAGTGGCACTGAGCCAGTATCTGGAATACATGAGTGTAATCCCTTTGAACACTATGTCTTTATTATCAATGATGAATTTGCTTGCACTCAGCTAGTGAACATTGATTCATTACTTATTACGTATATATGCTGCTAATCAGAACAACAAGCGACTTCCTTTTTTCCTTTCTTCCTTTCAATTGCCCTAATTGATCCAGAGGAATTAATGGACAAAGTCATGTGATCTATGTTTTACTGCACTTTAGGCACTATCCTATTGGTGTCCTGTTTGACCTACATGGTTCATCTGCTTCTTTACCATGGAATCTTACAGTTCATTTCCAGGTAATTAGCAAATATCGAATTTCCAAATAGCTGAACTTGGTAAATGTATTTACATCACAAACTTATAAATTCATCTTTTTTATGGTTGAAACCTTATGGTGTTCCATGAGGAGGTGGACTCCAAACCTTTGGGTTACATGCACTGTTAGGATCATTGTCTGTGTCTGAGCACCTACCCCTCTCTTAACCCAAGGACAGTTAACTGCGTGATAACTAGTTAAAGTTGGTTTGGTGTGGGGAGGGGTAGGTGCACAGTTACTCAGACACTGATATTGATTCCAATGTTTTTTTTTTCTTTCAACAAGTTACAGAGAACTTGGTGTTGAGTTAGGTCTTTATTTATATTAGTACTAGCCAAGGTCATATGTGATAAACTGTCTGTATACTGTTAGATATCAAAAGTGTAATGTGGATAAAGAAACTCATTTGAGAACAATTTTGAGCTTCTTCATTAACAAAAGAAATGTTTCATTTTTTTCCCAACCAAGGGAAACTTACATCTTATTTGTGGTATTAACTCAGTCATTTGAATTGCTGGAACCTTCAGAGTATACAAATGTAATTACAATGTAATGGAGACCTTGTACTGAGTTTGTAATAGATACTCTAAAATTCAATCTGCAGAAATTTCCAGAAACTGAAGTGATGAGATGTCCTGGAAAAGAAGCTATAGAGTCACATTTTATGTCTGCTGTTAAAGAGGTAACAGTTAAGTAAATGTTTAGTAATAGTTTATTAGTTTAGGTAACAATATGAAAGATTTAACCCTTTGCAGCCTAACATCTGTATCTATATTTTCCATAACCTTCTTTTTACTGTTTCTTTGTTACTGACAAGGATAATTTTCTAAACAGTTGAAGCCTCTTAGGTTGGTGATCATTTCCTTTATTATCATGATCTACACTAACTTTAAAAATGAATGATTCAACACTATTACTGTGTGAAGAAATTGGATGCTGGTCACTCTTAGGGTTTTTAGGACAGCTCTGATCCATAGTTTTGTTTTCCATATTCGTTTATAAACATTAACAACTGAATCGGAGTGGTAAACAGTTTTACCCATAAATATGATTTGGATAATTTGGATACAGTCAATTTGATTTTTAACAATTTCTTATGCCTTGTTAATGTTTGAAAATCACGAACAGAAAGGTTTAGGATGTTGATTACCCAATACAGATCATAGTTCTGCAAATTTGAAAACTTTTGAGGAGAATATTTTATCAAATAGTTCATAATTATCTGTGAAAAGTATTTATTTGTACATTCATTTGGTTATGTACTTTTCATTTGCCAGGCAGACAATTTGAAGCATAGATCACAAGTTATAAACTCAATGCAGAAGAAAGATCATAAGCAACTATGGCTTGGTTTAAGTAATGGTGAGTGAAGAATGTTGTATTTTGTACAAAAACATAGTTTTACAAATCCCAAACACAAGCTCCCTGCGAAATATTTGTCCATGTTTGTCTCAGTTCTTTTTCTCTACTAGAGGCAGAGAATTGTTCCTGAGAGAACAAACTCCCCCACTCAGAGGTGATAATATGTAATAAAGAGAACTGTGTACCATATTTACCTGTGAATAAGTGTTGCATCTAGGGATGCAGTACAATCTTTGAATAAAAGTGTTTTCCAGCCAAATTTGGCTCCTATTTGTCAGTATAGGATGAAAAAGAGTTACCCTGAAATAAATTCTGCCTCAAAACAAATTGCATAAATGAAATTCTAAGTAGTTAGTTGCAATGGACTGAAACCCCAACTAATGGGAGTAGCTTTGGTCCTAGATGCTTAATGTTAAGGAAATAGGATAAACTTCAACCAAATTAGCCTCCTAGCTTGAAAATTGACTTGTAAACCTCATGGGGAACAAAGACTCCAATTTTGCTGGTTAAATTCCAAATAGACTTTAAGATGTTATTGTTGACGTATAAGGCTATCAATGGCTTAGCGCCTTTTTATCTCCAGGAACTTATTAGTCTTAAAAGAAGCATGTAAGTACAAGTTATGCTCCGACTGTGATAGACTGCTACTAAACCCTGTGAAATTCAAGACTTTAACAACGTTAGGAGATCGATCTTTTGCTGCTGCTGCTCCTTAACTATGGAATTCATTGCCCTATGCAATCAGGAGTACCGGTAGCCCTACAGTAGCTTCTTTTAAAAAAACACTCAAGACATTTTTATTTCAGAAAGCTTTTTTGTGATTTTATGTACTTTTTAATCTTGATTTTAGTAGGTTTTATGCAGTTTTTTTTTTTTACAATTTAAGTAGTCTGGGTAATTTTGAAATATTTTTATTTTTAAGCACTGATGAAAATAGCAATGTTGATATCAGCTTTATATAAGTATTATTATTTTATCATTATATTTTTAAATTTCCATCTCATCCAACATGTGGCTTCACAGTGCATTCATAAGAA